TTCCTGAGCTGAATTAAGATTTCTCAGTTAGGAGAACAAATCCACTCCCACCAGACCTCACTGAGAATGGAGACCGTGAATTTAGCAAAGGAAGGACAGCCTCCGGGAAAGGATGTGTCATCTATCTGTCACTGGCCCCCAAGAGCAAGAAGGAGAGTGTCCTCTCCTTCCCCTCCCCCCACAGGGAAGTGCCACATCTTTCTCCAGCAGTCGTCATTGCTGCCAGATTAGATTGCGGAGGAATTAAGAACACAATAAAGAACAAAATGTTACCCAAGGTCATTGTCCTGCTTGAGCATCTAGAGCCCATATTGAAATGGAGCAGTGAGGAACGGTCATAGGTTTATCAAACACATCTTTCTCCTTGTTCCAGCCTGGGAGCAGGGCATTTCTGTAGAGATTGTCCAGTAATTGTGATAAAAAATGTGCACAAGACATCCCTTTGGAGGACAGGGGGCAACTTCCTGTACAAAGTTCACTTCCCTGAGCGTACAAATCATAGGGCCCTGTCCACTCCAACCTTCTGGTGGATATCTTGTCAATGCCATTACAATCTCCTGGCCCCCCAAAATACTCATTTTAATTAACAAACACCGAGGGAAAGAAGATATATTTAAGTGAGACAAATATTTTCCCACCTGAGTAATTTTTTCAATCCAGCAAATTGCAAACCTTAGCTTTTTTGTGTGGCTCTCCGCCTGTCTCCGGCCTTGTTCATTCTTTCTGATGCCAAACAGAACTGGTGGAAAGAAAGCAAAGAGCCACCACGCCTTGCCCCAGCTAGTTAGGTGGTGCCCTGGGCCAGAAACCAGGGCAGGATTATTTTGCTGCAGCTGTCCTAAGAACCCAATAACCTGGCTATTCAGAACACATCGGGTAAAGCATACCATCCCACGAAAAGAAAAAAAGAAGACTCTGAAAATAGTGCTTAATTAGAGGGAGAGGATTTCTTGTGAATGTTCAGGAAATTATTTTTCCTAAACATTCCAACACTGTAGCCCAGACATTTTGGACATTTATCATAAATGAGATTTGAGAACATTTTTCTTCTCTCAGCAAGCCTCCTCACTGATTTTTTCACGTCTTCCTGAACACCTTTCGGCTTTGATTTTCGTTTGTTCTAAGAAGTGCTGAGAAAGCTATTTGTCACTCTCCTTGTGGACTATTAGTGTGCTTTCCTACAGCTGTTGCAACTAATTTATCATAAGCAGGCCATCTCTGATCAGAATACTTAATTGTTTAGGCCTGATGACGGAACCAGTACTGAGGAACCATAGGTTCATCTTCTTCCATTTCTTTCTACACCTTTGCTATTTGCTAATGTTCACCGTCTCCACCTCTGCTTCTCCTTCATTCTTTCTTACCCCTTGGCAAAAATGTCTCACGCTACTTGAGACCTCCCTGCCCCTTCAGACATCCTTATCTTCTTTATATGACTAACTTGAGAGGTCACCTTTGAGATGGAAGCCAACCCCAGACACCAGGAGAGACAGACTGTAATCACTCTTATTCTCTGGAGAACCTCGGGGCTCTCTTCTGTTCAGAATCCCTAGAGGGCAAGCCCAAGGCAGAATTCTTCCAGGGTCTCTAAAATTTGAGACTGTGATGAAAGGTTCAGGAGCAAAGAAGGGCTTGATCACCCCCATGGCCTGTTTTAATAGGAAGGCTAAAAGCAGAACACCGCCTTGCATTTTTCTGAGCTTGAGACCCATATGGGCATCAGTGCTGTTTTCACCGAGGGCAACTGCGACATGCCGATTTGCCGCAGACCTTGTCCAGGTCCTTCTGACCAGTGTAAATGCACCAGTAGGTCAGTGAGCCAGCCCGAGTGGCAGTGGGACCCAGGACCCTGCTCCGCAGGCACCCTCCCATGGCAAGGCAGCCCGCAGCAGCACCAAGCTGGGCTGCAGAAGCGGAGCCCCAGTGAGGTCTTGAGGCTTGTGTGTCCGTTGTGGACTGGGATCAGAAGTTCTCTTCCCCAGCAAGGTCTTAAGCTGTAGTTTGGGTGTGAGATGGAAGGTCTTCTCGTCAGAGATGCAGTCAATAAACACATGTTGAGCACCTGCTGTGTGCAAGATGCCTGCTCAGAGCAGGAGACAGAGAACTAGACCCAGTTCCTGCCATGGGGAAACCTGTGTCTTTAGCTTTGGGCGAGAGTAAGATCAATTTCAAGTAAGACAACCCCAGGGGCAAAAAATGTAGCAAGAAATCATTGCTTTTGTCTGTGGCATGGATGCTACGTGTGTGTGTGTGTGTGTGTGTGTGTGTGTGTGTGTGTTGCAGCAGCGGAAGAAAGAAGTAGGAAAGTAGACAGGGATCTGATAAATAGGGCTGTGTCTGCATCAACTGGTTAATCCTTCCGAGAGGCTCAGGAAGCCAGTTGTAATTAGATATGTTTTTTCTATTACTTAAATTGAAACAACTAATTAAATCCTTAATTAATGTTTTTTAACTACCTTGGGATAAGAAGTGCCAGAGAAGTTATTCTAAGTGCTAAATATTACTCTGAAGTCCCAGGGAGCAGTTTGCTCATGTGTTGACTCTGGAATCTGTGAGGAGGCTCATGCTGTGAATAAAAGTCATTTGAATCGCAGTTGGCAAAATGTTTAAAGTATCTTCTTCCCCTTGACTTACCCCAAGGTTATCCTGTTGGCCTCTGTTACAACTTTCATCCTTGATTTACCATCACCTTTGATCAAGCCCTCAGCTGCTTAAGGTTTTGGGGGAGAAAGCTCATTTAGAAGAGGAGTTGGCTTGGTTCTGGGCGCCTCTGTAAAGTATCTAGCTTATCAAGTGCAGGCTATAAGCAATAATGAAATTTCCCCTGTGGGGTGCATTTTCATCTTTAGAATCTTAGAAGTTATAAAAGGACTGGTATAAAACTGCATTGGGAGGCAGCCAGGGCAGCTAGTAAGCTCTGCAGAACATTTCACATAATTTCCGTGGTCTCTGCCCCTTGAAGAAATTATTAGGGGCTGGTGTTTCCCTCTCCCACGCTCCTTCTGTCCCCGTCTTCCTCATGGTAGATCACCAAAGAAGGCATGACTTTGGTAGCCAGAAGGATCATTCCAGCAAGGCACATGGTTTAGAGACAAATGAGAGAGATTTTCTCTAGAAACTTCCAGAAGGTCCTTAGAAGTTTGCTTCGAAGGCCTAGATTTTCTGAAAGAGTGGGGAGAATTTTATTAAGTCTTTATTTGGAAGTTGATGTCTCTTAGATTAAAGCAGCGAGGGTATTTCCCATCTGGGAGGTTTTTTAATGTCTTTTTTTTATTATGCAGATGTTCACATCAGCAGACCCTTCCCTTAAGGGATTGCCTCCTCTCCTCTTGGGGAGTCCCTTGGCTCACCCTCCACATTAACCTACAATGGACTAAGCCAACTAATGACAGATGTAAACTCTGCAGGGACCACTGTTTTCTACTTTGCCCCTTTTATATTCATGTTTGGAAACATTTATATTAATATTTATGTGAATGAATTCAGAGAATATGTTTGGTAAAATGAATTTATTCATGTTAGTGGATAGAAGACCACATTATAGAATCACTTAGAAACCTACGAACATATAAAACCAAAATTATTGGAAAGCTAAAATCCAAAGAAAGTCTTGCAGATTTCCTTTTAGAACGCATTTCATTTTCTGTTGCTTTATATGTTCTCAAATTGGAAAACACAACTATGTTTAAATCTACAAGTTCAGAAATGTAGTTAGAATTCAGGATCTAGTTCAGGATATAATCAACTACATCTGAAAAAGAAGAGGTAGTATAGATTATCTAGCATAACGATCCTCAACCCCGGCTACAGTAGTAAATGCGGGAGCTTTTAAAAGCCCCAGTGTCTGGCCTTCACACCTGGAGTCCCTGAATTAGCTGATCTGGGAATGGTGTCTGGGCATCTGGGAGGCCATGTAAAAGGTCCCAAGGAATCCACTGGGTAGCCAAGTTCAAGAATTCCATAAACATAGTCCATCGACTTTTCCTATATTTAAAGGTTCTTTTTCCCACCGAGCGTATTCCGCCTAAAATAGCAGAATTGTTCCCAGGCCCAAAAGGTAAAGCAGTTCTCCACAGTCACTCTGAAGCCAGCTCCGTAGCTCCCGAGGAAGATGGCAGCTGGTACCAGCTGGCACCTCCGCGGAGGACGTGCAGGGGCCTGTTCTCAGCCCCGAGGTGGGCACAGGCCCTGAGCAATCCCCTGTCTGCCCTGTGAGAACTTCAGGCTTGGAGTCGGAAGACCTGGGTAGAGTCTCGGCTCCATTATTTCAATTCTGAGCCACCTTGGATAATACATATAACCTTTCTGGGCCTCAGCAGCCTCATCTGTAGAATGAGGAAAGTCACACCTTCCCAGACTTGTGAGAATAGAAGACATTTGTGAACGGATTTGTCACCTGTGCAGAGCTACAGAACTAGCGAGTTTGTGGGGGACACTGCGTGCCTCTGGGCAGCACCCTGGGTCCTGAGCCCACTTCCTCAGTCGCACCGGCCAAGTCCGGCACCAGCCTGGGCCTCATGTGGAGTTTCAGGGCAGAAAGCCCTTGAATCCCAGGTGTGCTGTGCCAGAACCGGGGATAGGAAGGGGGGGTCAACAAATGCCAGGGGCCCATCAGATCAGAAACCACGTCTGACTGGGGAACACACCCCGAAGTGAGAACGTGGGCCCGTACTGCAGAGCGAGGCTCTCTTCTCCTTTTGTGGAATGTTCTTCCCAGCACAACAGTTTAAGTGGCTGTAGGACTACGGGGAGCGAGAGGCAGGGTAGTCTGCTGGTACTTGGATTCCAACTCTTTCTGGCTATGAGCAGGTTACCTCACAGCCTGGGCCTCCCATTTCCCATGCAGGGTGGATAATAGTAGCACCTACCTCACTGAGGTGTTTGTTGTACGAATGAAGAGAGCGAATGAACGTGAAGCCCTGACCGACAGTGATGCCAGGTCGGGGTCGGCCGCTGTGCCACACAGAGCTAACCCGTCTGCCTGTCTCCTCCCACCCCAGTGCCTAGCCCCTCTTGTAACGGCTTTGACAGCACCCTTTCAAGGTCCTGCCGGCTGCCGCTGGGGAAGGAGGTCTGCTTCATCGCCACGGTCCGTCTGGCAACACCACAGTTCTTAAAGGCAAGTACCTGGGAGAGCGTGCATCCTGTGAAGCTAGGACAACTGAGTCACGTTTAGTTGCAGTTCGTTAACCGTCTTTATGGGAAAGAATAAGATGGCAATGAGGTTGCTACGGACTCTGGAAAGTTGAAATGTCTGGTTTCGGTACCTGTGAACTGTGCCACACACCCCTTGCCCTAGCTCTGCTTTCCTAGGAGCTCTTTTGCTGGAAGGCAGCGTCCGCTGCTGTTCAGCCTGCAGAGATGCTCGTTCGCAACTCTGTGGACCCTCCTCCCTTTCACACCAGCGTTAATACCACTCAGGGCGGACGGAGGTGAGGACCAAGTGTCAAAACCCAGGGCTTGTCTGTATTCTCTCACCCGTGATCGCTTTAACAGCCATGGCATGAATGCTGAGTTAAATTAGTCATTCAAACTCAGATGAAAAGCCATTTTCCACATGTTTACCGCCCTTCCAGATAATGGGAAGGGAGTGGTGTGACATTTTGGCTCTTAGGTATTTTTCCCCAGCTTGTGAAATAAATTTAGTATCAACTAATACTGAAATTAGCTACAGATGATGAGTTGCAGCCCAACACAACTTGGAGACTTGCTCTAAATGGTTTTAACTTCTGTTACCCACCACGTGTTCTTGAACCGACCTAGGGTGAGCATCTGGCACCCCAAGCAATATTTTTTTCCCTTCTAATACAGGAAATGTGCATAGTTGACGAACCTTTAGAGGAATTCACTTCAAGGCATAGCTTGGAATGGAAATTTTTATTTCTGGATCACAGGTTTGTGAAAAGAAAAACATATTTGGGTTGGGTCCTTTTCAAGTGTTTGTTTGCATGAGCCAGGCTCTCCTTGGGAGAGAAAAGTCGGGCCTTGTCCCTTCAAGGAGAAGAGCTTTCTGGCAGCAGGGAAAATGGTTCCTGGCCAAGAGCGAGGCAGCTCCCCTTCAACTTCAGGTGGATACGATCCATGTTGGGGTCCGAGCATCTCCGGAGAGTCAGTTGCCACAGCCTAGGGCCACCATTGGGATACTCTCACCCCTGGCCCACTCGGGACCCTCTCCAGTCCCTGGAAGGCAGGGGCAGATGGGAGAGAAACTCCTCGTCTTAATTTTCTCAATACCTTCTTGTCCCTGTAACTTAACCTTCTTCCTTTCTTCTGTAACATTTTTCACAGTTGAAGAACGAGAAATCTCCCCTCCCCAACTTTAAGTTTGTATTACGCGTTGGGACTGGACTGACCCAGTCGATAGCTGTTTTTAATTATTCAGTAATGATAAAATGTATTATTATTTAACCCAGGTTATGCTAAGGAAACTGAATATCTAAATGCCGGAAGGGTTGAGCACTTTGGAAAACACAGCCTCTCTGGTTCGAACCATTGCAAAATTATCATCCTGCCCTCGTTCTTGAGAAATGAGGTCTCGGTGTTGATCATGAAACATGCAGACGGTGCCCTCAGTGTTGAGGTGCCGCCACAGTGAGTGTAGTAGGCAGACCTTGCTTTCTGATGAATTATCCCCGTTGCTTGGCAGAGCCCCTCCCATCATAGGATACCTGCCTTTTGAAGTTTTGGGGACCTCAGGCTATGACTACTACCACATTGACGATCTGGAGCTCCTGGCCAGGTGCCATCAGCACTGTGAGTACCGCACACCCCGCCGCAGCGCCCAGCGGCCTCCAGCACCCTCCACAAAGCCCCAACAGCAGGACTCTGGGTCCTGGAAGTCCGCTTATTACTTGGTTTCTTCTTGAGGAGGAACACTTTGTTTTCTCTAAAATGATGTAGGAGTGTGGCAGAGCTCCTTGTGGTTTGAGTTTTTACCTGGAATTGACTTTGCTCTGCCTCCTCCCACCCCCCAGCACCTTCCCAGTATCCTTTAGATTTGTAAGCTGTTTAATCTTACATGAGAAATAAGGTGAGTGATGATGGCCATTTTTTCTAAGTTATGCAATACATTATTTTAAGTTTATTTATTTTGAGAGATAGAGAGCGCAAGCAGGGGAGGGGCGGGGGGGTGGGGGACAGAGGATCTGAAGCAGACTCTCCGCTCACAGCAAAGAGCCTGACACGGGGTTTGAACCCATGAACCATGAGATTATGACCTGAGTTGAAGTCGGACAATTAATAGACCGAGCCATCCAGGTGCCCCTATTCAATACATTTCAAAGACAAACTACTGAACTCACATCACTGTTCATTGTAAGCAGACATATATTGGTCACAAGCTACAGGCCAGATAACTGAACTAGACCCAGTACATAAGGATGATCAGACTCTCCTTGCTTGTCTGCAGGAGCAAGGTCTAATGGACGCTTATAGGATGCTGTCCCTGCATTGGGAGGAATGTGTTCAGGATACCAGGGGCGGGGGGTGGGGGGGGGGGGCAGAGAAGGTCCCTTACCCAGCTAGGGGAGGGGACCAGGAAGGCTCTCTGCCACAGAAGAGGGCCACAGGCTGGCAGAGGTGGGGGAGGCACCCCATGTTGTGGGGTAGGGTGGGGGGAGGGAGGATTACAAGCATATCTGGGTTCTCACTTAGCAAGAGGAGTCAAGAATTAGCCATTTAAAGCCATATTTTCAGTGCCAAGCTCTAGTTTTAAACAGGAACATTTTTAGTCATAGTGACCTACGGATCCTGACACATAAATTGACCACCAACACTGTATTTTGATAGACATCCTGTCAGTAGTGCCCATTATAACTTTCACTTCTAGTCAAAAGAATCAGCTCAAAGGGCGCCCGGGTGGCTTAGTCGGTTAAGCATCCGACTTCGGCTCGGGTCATGATCTCACGGTTCGTGGGTTTGAGCCCCGTGTCGGGCTCTGTGCTGACAGCCAGCTCAGAGCCTGGAGCATATTTCAGATTCTGTGTCTCCCTCTCTCTCTGACCCTCCCCTGCTCACGTTGTCTCTCTCTCTCTCTCTCTCTCTCTCAGAAATAAATAAAACATTTTTAAAAATTAAAAAAAAAAAGAGTCGGCTCAAGTTCATCAGGATCCTCTGTTAGAATCTAAGGCTGATTTTTTAAAATATTTATTTATTTATTGGGAGAGTGCAAGCAAGGAAGGGGCAGAGAGAGGGGTACAGAGGATTGAAAACGGGCTCTGGGCTGGCAGGCTGACAACAGCGAGCCCGATGCGGGGCTTGAGACATGACTTGAGCCAAAAACAGCTGAGCCACCCGGGTGCCCCTAAGGCTAATAGTTATAACTTTAACCCTTCGCTCCTCCAAGTGCGGTCCTCGAACAGCAGCAAGGACATCATGAGGAGTTGGCTACCCTGTAGACTCTCACGCATCCCCAGCCGGCCTGTGGAATCAGAACGTCCATTTTAACAAGATCCCCAAGTAATTCATGGGCATGTGAAAGTTTGAGAGGCAGGGCTACCTCAAGCCTTGGCTGCCTCCGACTCTTCGAGAGCAGCAAGGCCACCCTGGTTGTAGAATTACCTTCATCATCTGAAGGACTTGCCCCAGGGCTCAGGCAAAAATTTCTCACTCTGTCCAGCCCATGCCCTTGCTCAGCCGGGCTTCCTACCTGTTCGGAGATCACGTTCTCCAAGGCAGTGGCTCCCTTTTATAGCTTTGGTTTCCTCGTTGTGGTATCTGTTAACTGTTTTGCTAAAGGGGTGCTAAATTCCAGACACCACGGCAATAAACCCTAGATTGTTCCTCTCCCCTAGACCCACAGTCCAGCCTTCTGCCCTGTGCAGTCTAATATTCCAACAGCATCCATTCTGTTCTGGACGACCCCAGAGAAGCCCACCAACAGACTTGACTGCACGGGACTCCACGCAGCCCTGCTGCACTGGGGCCTGAGGTGGAAGGCATCTGTGGCCAACTCTCTAATTTAGGACCGTCGTAGACTAAGCATGAACTGCTGACTGACAGCCACAGAATCCATCCAGAGGTTCCCGGCTGTCAGTTCTATTTTGGGCCCAGATCCCCTGGTGTCTGGATTCTCTCTTCCGTACTCAGCTCCTGCAGCACCAAACACTGCTCCACCTCCAGCAGGAAAACCTGTGCCTCTTTTTAATTAAACTCCAGTTTGGGAATCTGCCCTTATCCGAGGCTCTCTTAAGCATTTGAGCATTTGGGGAAGCATGCAGATTGTTCTTCCATTATTGAAGAATTCATTATCGCTTACCAGTATCTTGAGAGTCACTTAAAATACAACGCACCTGGGGAAATAAACTGTGTTTTGGCACTTTCTGGAAGCTTATGTTTTTAACAGTAACTTCTGGGGGAAAGATCATTTTTGTATTAACGTTTGCTACACGCAGACTCCATTTTCTCCTAACAGTGATGCAGTTTGGTAAAGGGAAGTCCTGTTGCTACCGATTTCTGACCAAAGGCCAGCAGTGGATCTGGCTGCAGACCCACTACTACATCACTTACCACCAGTGGAACTCCAAGCCCGAGTTCATCGTGTGCACACACTCGGTCGTCAGGTGAGGGCTGGGGCTGGGAGGGCGGGCGAGCCCCTCACCGCTCACACGGAGCCCCTGCTGCCTCAGGAGGCTCCAGGTTCTCACCCCTGCTCAGTCCCCCGGGCTGAGGCTTCACACGCTCTTTCAGGACGCCGGGATGTTACTCAGTGACTTACTGCTTCACTGACCTACTTCCATATTTTCCCCTCATCTCCATCCATCCCCCAGCCTTCCCTTGTCACTGTTTTGGGAAGAAAATTAAACTTTTGCCTCTAAATAACTCACAGACATAGTCCCCTTTATTGTTAATGCGTTAAAAAAAAAAACCCTGCTGACAGCTGAGGCAGTGCTGGGGATAGAGCCTGGCTGCCAGTGGGAGGGGGTCCCTGGCAGCTCCGGCTGGCCTCAGGGAGCCCCCCTGCCCAGTGTGGGTGAGGAGAGCCTCCACGGCAGTGGCATATCCGACACTTCCCAGATGCAGGCTAGGTAGGGTCATGATTCCCAAAGGTGAAGGAGAAGTGTCACTTGTGGGGTCTACAGAATTTATAAGGACATAAATCCGTTTTAAACTGGTCTAGAGAAGGGCATTTGAACAGAGCAAAGAAAGAAAGGTTATATATATTGGATGTCTGTATGTACATATACTAGATAGATAGATGATAGATAGGTAGATAATACATGGGTAGATATATATCTATGTATATACACATATATGGGTACATACATACTGCATTTTTATATATGCATAAGAGATAGATGATTGATAGATAATAAGTAGGTAGGTGGGCAGATAGATAAATGGAGAGATACCACGCATACACACATGCACACACACATGCATATATACAGTCAACAAGTAAATCTCTCTTCTTTTAGGAAGTGAGGAAAGAAGAGAAATGCTGGTCGGTCTTGCCAGTGACCCTGACCATCACACTGCATGCCACTCTTAGGGACTTGATCCTGGCTTTCCAGCCCATCCTGGGGCAGGCACTTCAGCAGCCAGTGGTTTCCCATTACAGGCCAGTCCCATCCACTGCCACCCAGCCTGGGCCTTTGTCAGAGGGTCTTTTTGCCCCCACCATCAGCATCTTGGTCTTCAGATTCTGTCCTTGACCCTCCTCTTCCTCACCATCCTTAACTCTCAGAGAGAGTAGGGAGTGAACTAGTGAGTGAATAAGGTAACAACATTCCAGAAGCCCAAGAGGCACTGTCGCTGCCCAAGGCCCCTTGCCCAACCTGCATCTCCATACGTGAAACAGACGGGACGGGTTACTTCGGCCATCACCACATTGAATTGATTTGCCTATGCTATCTTATTTTATTTTACTTTATTTATTTTGTATTAAAGTTTATTTGTTTTGAGAGGGGGAGAGAGAGAGAGAGAGAGAGAGAGAGAGAATGAACCAGCAGGGGAGGGACAGAGAGAGGGAGACAGAGGATCCGAAGCAGGCTCTGTACTGACAGCAGCGAACTCAATGCAGGGCTTGAACTCAGGAACCAGGAGATCATGACCTGAGCCAAAGTTTGACACTCAGCCAGCTGAGCCACGCAGGCACCCCTTACCCACGCTATTTTAAAAGTGGGTCCACAGACTAATCAATCAGTGCTCTGCGTCTAGATCTAGATTTGTTAGAGAGAAAACTTTCAAAGGTTGTAATTATTTAAAAAGTCACGCGTCCCTTCTCTGTATGCACAGTCCAGACTGAGTAGGTTTTAGGAAAGGCTTTTGATTATTCAAAGGTCAAGGCTTATCCTGTAGATGAAAATATGTTTCTAAAGACAATGATGTTTGGAAGTTTCAAGGCATGGGGAGAAGATAAGTAAAAGAGAAGGGAGTAAAAACATCCTGGAAAGGAAAATATTTTGAATGTTACATTAGAAGTCACTCCGGTGGAATTTTAGGCACAGGATGAAACTCCTTCCTCAAACAAGTGGCAAGACCAGCCTCCTTCGTGGCGACGATTCTGGGGTGGGTGTCATGTAGGGTACCCTGATGTACCTCACAAGCCCTCTGGCTGTTGCCATCTGGAATGTCCCACCTCCTGCTGTGGTCTCTTGGTTTCCTGATCAGTTACGCGGATGTCCGGGTAGAAAGGAGGCAAGAGCTGGCTTTGGAAGACCCACCACCTGAGGCCATTCACCCTTCAGCACTCAAGGTATGTTGATCCCTGCCAGATGGCTGAAGGCCAAGTTTGCCTCAGAAAGCTCTCCCATGACTTGTTATACTAGAAAGAGTCATCGTTTTATTTGCTATGTTCCTAGTACTATTCAATGTGTTTCTCAGGTATTCACTTGTTTACCATCACGACGCTCCCGTGAAGCAGGCACTATTATTGTCCTCGTCCTTCAGATGAGGCACAGAAGCACACAACACAGAGAATTTCACTAACATACAAGAGGGCACTGAGGATTAGAATTTGCAGAGCTGTGTAAAAAACAGCCTCTGGGCTCAATGCACGATTTGGTGGCTTTCCCTCCTTGTGAGAGCGGCTATGATAACTCCACTTTGTATCCCTCCCACAGATAAAAAGCTAGGAGCTTATTCCCTCATCCCATTGAGCCATGGAATAATCTAGGTGCCCCTGTCCTTCCCTCAGCCTAAGTGCTGGGCCCTCCAGGACCTGGGCATCCCAGGTGTGCCTCTCATTTACCCTCCATGTGGTCAGTGGCAAGGTGCACTTTCTACTTCTGCATTTGAAGGTCTTGGTTAACAGCCATGTTGGAACCAGCTTCATGTTAGGGAGCTCTGCTTGTAAGGGGTATTTCCCTTCACAAAGCCTTCCCTCCTTCCCTGCTCCACACTCCGCTTTTAGGCTCCCCACCCCCCAACCTGGCTTTCCTCCTGTGTCAAACAACTAGAGAGGAATGTGCAAGCAGACCAGAGCCCTATTCCTCAAAGGTCATCCTTCGAACAGACACAAAGGTTGGGGAGAAGGGGGAAGAGAGAAGGCAAGGAAGGGAGGGAGCAGTATATTTCATCAAAGCCAAGAAGCTAACCATTGTAAGATCCACCATTATTTATCTCCCGCTAAGAAAGAGAAAATGCTGCCACCAATCAATCTGTGAAATAAGGATTTCTTTTCATCAGTTGAAAGACACATCCCAATTTCAGAAATGTCAAAATGTGTGTGTCGCGGGGGGGGGGGGGTCTCTTAATAATTGGTGAAATGTGGTTCAAGTTCCAGGCTGCCCTGTGACCTAGAATCCAGAGACTTTGGCCAGAAGTTGCCGCGGCAGCAATGGTAGAATGAAAGCATCTCTGGTCCACCAGAGCTGAGTTGGGAGGAAGGAGGAATAACCTTTAAAGACCAGAGCAGTCAGTGTCTTCTGCGAGCCTCCCCTGCTGGCACACTACATGGTGATATGTTGTGTGGTGATTCATCACCAGCACACTGATACGACACACCTGTCATTGTTTATGGAAGTGTTTATTATCCTGCTCTGTCATATAATGCATCATGTATCATGTCCAAGAATGGAATTAAGCTGTTTGTAGACAGGTGTTAGACATCCCGTACATCACGGCTCACAAACGGGCATAATATGTATCATCTATTCGGAAATTCGTTATTGAAGTTTCTGATCCTCTGGGACTCCTAGAACCCAGTGGGACTTCTCATAAACTTGCACATATGTATACACGCACCAGATACAATCTCGGGCTGCCCTTCTTCAAGGAAAAGCTCTGGGACAATGCTTTTCAAACTATCAGTGGTGATGGACTATTTGTTCTTTCAATTTCAAATCTGTCACTGACCGTTGCTTTTGTAAAATGCAAATTCCCCTGCCCAGACGTGATGTGCAGATATGTGAAATGGCTATAAACGTCTTTCCGTGCTTCCTCTCACTTCCTGTACTTATTTCTCTGCTGACCAGGAGCACATGATTTGCAAACAACCCTGGACCAGGGGCCTCACTCTAAGGGGTGCCTCTGGGGAGACTCTGTGACTAAGGAGCAGAGTCCCAAAGCTGACATTTTAGCACAGCAGATCCAGGCACATCCTGTGACTCTGTTTTACACAATGGACTGTAGGCCACTATCAGTCATTTCAGCCCTATTTGGGGCACATACACAGAATCTACCCTTACTGGAGCCATGACTAAAAAGACAGAAGAGCCACGCAGGCTCACACCCAGAGATTTAAGACCCAAGACCGCGGGACATGGAATGGCCGTGCAAAAAGCCTAGTGGATGCCAGGAATGTCACCATCCTCCTATGGCTGGGTGGGAGCATGGCTCAGGGAGCAAGCATTATGTTTCTTTCTCAGCTTAAAAATTCTCCTACCCCCTGTTTTCTCACGCTTCTGACATGAATCCATGCAGGATGGAGAGAAGGCTCCTCAGGGTTGGAAGGTCACAGGTGCTTTCTCATCACATCATACTTGCAGCAGAGGCATCCTGGTATCCAGGATCTGTTAGGATCCAGGAGCCAAAGGAGAGGAGACCATTGGCCCTTTGCCTGTTCTTCAATCCGGGGCCCTGAGGCTACCGAGGAGAAGCAGCCGGGAGACCGTGTGGGACGTGCCCTGAAGGCTCCAAAGGCATTTGTTTCACTGGAGTGTTAACAATCCAGTACCACCACCAACCTGTTTCTAGAACCTGCCTCTCCCCCCCACCCCACTTCTGGGAGTGCCAAGATTCTAGGCAGTGAGGTGACAATTTTAAAGGAAAAAAATAAAATGCAACATCAGTTATGAAAATCTAAAAAATCAAAATCTAAGGTGAGCAAGTATAAGAGATACTGCTTATATAGAGCCACAAGCCTCTCAAAGATGTCTGGATACATATATGTACAAATATTCCACCTGGATGTGTCTGGAGTGATCTCCAAATGGTTCTGGTCTTTCTCCCTTTACCCTCCAAAATATTCCACATAGTTAGTGGAAAGCTAAAGTCACATGATTCATTCCTGTCACCTCGATGCTGAAATGTGGACTCTGTGTGTGTGTGTGTGTGTGTGTGTGTGTGTGTGTGTGTGTGTGTTTCAGGACAAGGGCTCCCGCCTGGACCTTCAGCAGCACTTTAACGCACTTGACGCAGGCACCTTGGGCCTTAACACCAGTCATTCACCATCAGTATCCTCCAGAAGCTCCCACAAATCCTCGCACACAGCCATGTCAGAACCCGCCTGTGAGTGCCGCCACAGATGGTGAGGGGGTGGGTGCCCGTGTGGGGCCAGGGTGGTGGGAGTATAGAGTCCCACAAAGGGTCGCGGGCATGAGCAGAATCAGGGCAGACTATGCCTGTGAAGTGGAAGCCGCCTTCCAGTTCACACTGTCTCCAGCTTCCTTTCCCTCTGGCTTCCTGCCCTCCACCTCTCCACCCTCTGTAGCAGACACAGGGCAGGTGACATGCAGACCAGATAGCCTGGCCGGGTTTTCGTGGCCCTTGTAAGAGGTAGGATCAGACAGGTGGTTGAACCATGTGGTGGGCATGAAGCTTGGGGGTGGTTTGCTCCCAGGTGGGGTCGGAGGCTGGCAGAACGTCTGTGGCTCTTAAAACAGCTTCCATTCGTGTTGCACTTTTTTTTTTAACCAGACATTCCAACGAAGCCCTTGTTTCATGCATACCATAGTCATTGCTCCCCTCTTTGGATAAGAAAGCTGTTAAGCATGCATGAATCAGGAAGGTGATCGGTTGCTTTCTTACAGCCGCCCCAAGCAAGCTGATGGCAGAGGTCAGCACCACGGCTTTGCCAAGATCAGCTGCCCTGCCTCAAGAGCTCCCCGTGCCAGGGCTCAGCCAGGCATCCGCAATGCCGGTATGTATGTGACCTTAACCTCCTTCTCGACCAGAAGCGCCACATTGTGGCAGGGCTAACAAGACCACAGGACAGCATTACTGCATCTTCCCAGAGAACCAGTTGTACTTGGAGATGGAGAGTGTAGCGTGGCACTCAGGGATGGGAAGCTAGGTAACTTAATTGGCAAGTAATCAGAAACATTTTTATTCCAAAATTAACATGGATGTGTGTTCAAAGGATGTAAAATCCAAATGAGTTTTAAAGATTGAGCTGGAAATTTCGTACCAGGGGTCACATCCCCAGAGTCTCTGAGGGTACACAGGATCCTTCCATTTGGAGTCCTGTTTCACCCCAGGGACAACATTCAAGAAGTCTGTGCCGACAAAAATCTACCTCTACATGCATCAGGCAGTGTCCCTGGTATACACCAGACCTCTCCAGAAGGTCAGGGAATGAGGGGCCTCTTAGAAAGCACGCTGGCTGTATGCAAAATCACTGATACACACAATACTCCAGGTATCTCCTGCCTCATAAGGGATCACGCCAAACTTAGTGAAGTAAAGCAACAGTCATTTCTCAAATTCTCAGGATTCAGAAAGGGCACAGAGGGGCTGACTCCTGTCTGCTTCCTGGTGCCAGAGGCCTCACCGGCTGGGCCTGGGGAATCCACACCCCAGGCGTGTCTGTGCTCATGTCTGGCATCTGGGGTGGGCTGGGCTACCTACCCTGAGACGAGACCATCCACCCTCCACTTGCCTGGGCCCAAAGTTGCCTTGGGCTTCTCCCGGCATGGTAGCTGGGTTCCAGGAAGAAATGTCTGGAGAGGGAGCTTTCCATGAGAGCCAGGCAGAAGCTAATGGCTTTCTAGGACCCAGCCTTGGAAGTCCCCCAGTGCCACCTCTGCCATCCTTCTTGACCAGAGCAGCCACAGCTCACCCACAGAGACGGACAAGGACTCCACCTCAGGATGGGAGAAGTATCCAAGAATGTCAGGAGCTACAACCAGGTAGTTGCCAGATACCTCCTACCCAACCCTCACTGACATTTTGGAGATGGGAGCAGACGTGCCAGCTTCCTGCCTGCGGTCTCCAGGGAAGCGATGCACGCCCCACTTGAAAAGCTTGAGTGATGTGTTTTATTTTCAAATCGAACAAGACAAAGACCACTTGCTTCCTCTCCAGCCACCTTCCAAAAATGCTTGCAAGCCATGAATGCCATTCTTCCAATACTAGGCAGTCCAGTAGAACTACTTTCTGCCACTGATGGAGGCGCGGTTCTGGTTCCTCTCCGCTGTGCAGGGGACGTGATCTGGAGAGACCAAACCAGGCTCCGAGCAGCCCTGTGCCAGGAATTTCACACTCAAAACAAGGTCTCCTGTGGTCACTTCCTCCCAATGTTGTGCTGGGTGTCACTTCTCATTTGGGCTGCTTTTTATGGTCTCTAGGGCCTGAGGGACAGTTTGGGAATAACTTCAGAAGAATCCTTTTACTTTTCTTTAAAAAACTCTCAATAGCCCATGAAGCTCAGGTTTCATTTCTTATTTCTATGCATTGCCTCTCTACTGTCCTCCTGCCCTGCCCTGAATGATCAGGAAATAAGGCCTGTGACTCAGCTGACTGCCCAGGACTCTCTTAAAAGATTCTAGGCCGAGACTGGTGAAACCGTACCAGTATTCACTGTCTGGATGAATGAATGGATATAGAAACGCATGGCACGTCTGTCCACTGCATTAGTGTTGAGCAGAAAGGGTAAGGGCAACACGCAGAGCCAATGCTGGTTATTAGTACAACCCCATTCATATTGCTTGATGACACTGCTAAGAATTTATCAGTTTGGAAGATGAGCAACCAAATCCAGCAAGAATGGATCCTTCTAGAACAGAAGGCAAGGAAGAGGGAGTGAACAGAGCTGCCAAGCTCCAGCCCGTCACAGTGGCTTTGCAGGACACACCATGGTGGGGAGGCATCCCAGACCCTGAGTGACTCCAGGACCTTGCTCAACAGCACCCTGCACCCTTCCTTCATCAGCCATGTGTCGGCTATGCCTCCATGTCTTATAAGGGCGGCAGCACAGCCTACCTTCTAGAAGTAAGCTCTTCACTCTAGTGCAGAGGGGCCTCCTCTAGGCCAGAGAACCCAGCCGAGTGAGAGCACCCATGTGCCTCTGTAATGGCCCGGGAATGCTATTTGTTAACAAGGGGCTCCTCTCTTCCCCAGGCTCCCCTGCCTGCCCCGTCATCCTGTGACCTCACACAGCAACTCCTGCCTCAGACCATTATGCAGAACCCACCTGCCCCCATGACACAGGTGAGTCTGGGGCTCAGGGAAAGGGAAACCTGGTGGTGGCAGGTTCTCCCTAGGACAGAACGCGTGCTTTCCTCTTGAGCATGTGGATGCCATCAGTGCCGATATGTAGGTACCAAACCAAGATCCCAAACCGGGGACTATTTCTCCAGATGTGTGGGTAGGGCACGTCGAGCTATGAACTTTGTCCTCTACCTGTCTTCTCCAGCCATCATCCTTCTCTTAATCTTTGTTCATCTCTCTGCCCCTTCACCATGTTCCTCTTACTTTTTATGACCCCAAATTGGTTATGTTATTTTAGGAAGTTTGAATTAGGCCAAATGTCATAGGAAGATTCTGCAAAAATGTAAAAGCTGTGAGTCCAGTACCATAAATAATCACATTTGTTGGGTTTTTGTTTTGTTTTGTTTTGTTTCTTTAAGGACCATGGCTTTGCTGAGTAATTCCTTCTTTGTTTTAGCAACATTCAGTGCATTACTATTTGGGTCAGTCCGTGAGTGAGTGTGAGGGGCACAGCCCTAGCTTTTAGCACTCAGCGTTCAAGGGAGACGCAGGCACACCAACAGACCAATCTCCATGGCAGGGTGTGCGTGTTTACAGAACTGGTAAGAAAATACCCTGCAGAGGAGGTGACACCTGAGCTGGGCCCAGCTGGACGTGCTTGAGGCCCGGTGAGAGGCTGAATGAAATAGCGGTCACTCATTGTGCAGCCGCCTAGGGCCACTGAGCTGACAGGCATACACTTCACTGAGGCCAGTCTCCACTTTAAGTTCCTTTATGGGATATCTAGCTTTGTGCCCCTGTCTGGCTACAACGGGGTCCCAGGTCATGATTCATCGACACGTACCCCTGGCTGCACTCTTGCCGAAGTGTGGACTTCTCTCTTAGGGCTAATCCGTCAGCAGTGACGAAAACTCTTTTACAACATATGTCCCATTAACAGCGGTATCAGATGCTTTCCTGGAATCAAAAAGACACCTGCTAGCACAAGCCCCACGCTAGAGTTAGGCTGGAAGGATGTCAAAGCTACTCGTCCAAGGTCAACTAATTAAAATAGTCTATGTTCATCCTCTTTAGGAAAAAGAAAAAAAAATTTTCTCTTCGAATTTCCAAGGCGCATTTGCTACGAAATTAGTAAGTTTTTCAGTCCAAAGGCACATGAAATGAGAGTTCCCATAACTTCTGGGTCTTGCATAGAAAAGGAATTTCTTTGTTTCGTAATGCATAATGATGTGATTAAGGCCTTCTTCACATTAATGTTTCATGTATTAAACATCATTTTAATTAACAATAAGTTCTTAGTCTATTAGGCACATTATACTTAATAATAACCACATTCTTTAAGATATTCTTGCATAATGCTGACCTTTCAAGCCAGACAGTTCTTTGCATACCAGCTCCATGTAAAACAATGCATTCTACAATTTTCTCTCTTTCCATTCTCTGATGCTGTCACTCTAGCACCTTATCATGGAAAAGGGGGAGGAAATAAGACCCAAAGTCTGAGAAATGGTTTTCTGGGTAGCTGGTGGTTTTGCTTCATACTTTGTTTCTAAAACGTCTCTAAGTTAGAATAAATGTCTATATCAAAAAGGCCATGGTCAAGAATATAACGAGAGACTGATGCCGGGGTATCTTGGAATGCCCTGAGAAAATCAGAATAATACTAGAAGTAACTATCACTTATGAAGCACAGTGCTGGCCCCTCCCCGAATGCCCTCCCCCATCCTGTTTCTTTTGGGAGCCAGCTGGGCAACCCAGAATGTCCTCCCCACTGGACATGCAAGGCATAGCCCCCAGTGTTTCCTGACTTTGTAGAACCCTCCACAGTTTTTATTGTGGTTGTGTGTGTGTGTGTGTGTGTGTGTGTGTTTAATTTGCTACCTGGTAGAGCTCGCTTTCTTTCTCAATCAAATTCTCTTTCAAGATCCCAGCTGTGTGTTTTGATGACTTACATTCTGATGGAGATTTTTGTGATACAGTCTGGTTTAGCGCAGGTTTTTTAAAATTCCGGTTTAGCAGAAGAACTTTTTCTGTTAAATGAAGTCTGAAGGCAAAGCCGCTCTGATTGAGGTGGATTTGGGGGGCCAGGGAGGTGTTGCTGGCAACACCGCTCGGCCTCTCCCAGCTCCTAAGACTCAGGATTCACAGTTTGGCCCAGACCACCAGCTAGCCGTGCGATCTCAAGCGAGTCTCTGCGTGACATGGGGGTATGATGTGAAGAATTAGAGTGTCCTGCCTCTGCTGGCCTGCGGCAAATGACTGGCCAGTGTGGGTCTCCACAAGTGGCAGTATATATTGGGTTTTAAATTATTTTTCCACTCCAAAAACTGAAGTCAGTTATTCCATCCTTCAGTGTATCCTAGCTATGTTCTAAACTCTCCTGGGCTCCTTGCTCTCCATATAAGAGAGGGCAGAGAGCAGAGGTAGTCTCCGGAAGTGTTTGCAAAAGACAATGGGCAAGAATCAGACTAGGGAGAATGTTGGAATAGAGGTTGAGGGCATGGGGGTTAAGTCATTGTTTAAAAAAAAAAAAAGGAGGTGGAAGAGAAGGAAAAGATAAGGGGGGGGGCAGAGGAGGGGAGGAGAGGGGAGGAGGGAAGCCCAGGTCAGCAAACACATGTTCCTCAAGAAACAGGAATTACTGAGTGCTCCAGAGAGCCTAGACCAGGGTGGCCACCCTAGGGAGTGCCAGCCTCACCTGGCAAGAAAACACCTTATGTCAAGGTAGACAGGTAACATGGGGCAGAGATCACCTGTAGCATCTTCCTAAAGTCAACCTCCATCCCAGGAAAACAAGAGGTAGAAGGAAGGGGAAACGGTGCTCTTGCGCAAAGCAGGTATTAGTGTCGCGCCTATAAGGTCATCCTCTGCCAGTGTTACCCTCAGGAGAAATGTCAGGTGATCGTACTACTCTTTTCCTTAGTTCTTTGCTGCACAGATTTCTAACAAGTGCATAGCAGCAAAAGAGCCCGGGGGAAGTGAGGGAGTGGTGAAGGCTTCCCCGTGGCCCCAGGCTGGTTTCAGCCCAGATATCAAGCTCATTTGTGAATTGTTACAGAAGAGGCCTGCATGCCAGGATCAGATTTAGGATAACGAAAGGACCCCAGATTGCCTGTGAAGCTGTCACATGCTCTGATGCACTGCTTTTGACATCCGTCCCCAAAACCATTTGTCCGACTAACCAAATTTGGAATGTCAGCTTGTGAGCACTGCTTACAAAATCGTGTCCCGATTCTGTGGCCCTCCCAGGCTTCAGTGCAATACATTAGACCTACAGATTCTGGTAGGCCTGAGAAAAAGCTCATGCGGGGACGCTGGGTCTCCCAGTGCTCATCCAAAGCCCCTGTGCACTGCTAAGCGCCCCAGCGAGCCACTCAGGAGGCATACGAAAAAGGGTGGATAAGGGACCGGAAATGAAAGTGGGCAGGGCTGCTCAGAACAGCAGCAACATCTGTCTGCAAGGCTGAAATAACTCTTTCATCTGGTTTGGTGTGTTGACTCCACCTTCAAGTTCTCAGCACAGTTCAGCATGTTCCAGACCATCAAAGACCAGCTGGAGCAGCGGACACGGATCCTGCAAGCCAACATCCGGTGGCAGCAGGAGGAGCTTCACAAGATCCAGGAGCAGCTCTGCCTGGTCCAGGACTCCAACATCCAGGTGAGACTCCTGCCTGGGCAAGTGTCCACCTCGGTCTCTGCACTCCCTGCCGCCCTCACATGTTTACCCACCGTTTCAGGGTGGGCAGGACTCCCGCCGAAGTCCCTCTGTCCTGCCCTAATGAGCCCTGCTTCCTAAGCATATTGCAACCTCCAGTACCAAGTACAAGGAACGAATCCCACCTCCTCCATTCCCAACTCCAGGCCAGATGTGAATTTCACATGGCACCCTCCCCCTTGGCCCCTTGCTCCGTTGGGCACATAGTGTCTGTATATCACCTGCATTTTCTTTTAAAAATTTTTCTTGAATGTTTTATTTTATTTCTGAGAGAGAGAGTCAGTGTAAGCAAGGGAGGGTCAGAGAGAGAGGGAGACACAGAATCCGAAGCAGGCTCCAGGCTCTGAGCTGTCAGCACAGAGCCCAATGGGGCTCGAACCCACGCACCTTGGGATCATGACCTGAGCCGAAGTCGGATGCCCAACCGACTGAGCCACCCAGGTGCCCCTATCACCTGCATTTTCATTCATGAGTGGTGGTGGTTCGCCCTGCATTGATGCCTGCCTCCCTCCTGTGGGGGTATAAACTCCCAGCACCTGTTCATAGCACCCAGCCAGCTACCCACGGGGTAGATGGAGGCAGCTCTACTATAGCCTCTCATCCAAAGCAGTGATGAAGGGAGATCTGGCAAATGAGGACATCTGCACCCTGCCTGGAGAGGGACAGGAGAGGAAGCTGGGGACTAGAGGTCAGCACCGTGGTGTCTCCAGGCCACCCCATTTGTGGCATGCCAATTGTGGCATTCTGCATGTTCTAACAGCAGCAGCTTTCAACCATGACGCTGCCCACCCTCCAGATGTCTCTTCTTTTTTTAAAAAAAATTATTAAATGTTTTATTTATTTCTGAGAGAGAAAGAGAGCGAGCGAGTGAGCGCACGAGCGGGTCAGAGAGAGGGAGACACAGAATCCGAATCTGTCAGCACAGAGCCCGACGCGGGGCTCGAAGTCAGACGCTTAACCGACTGAGCCACCCAGGCGCCCCCAGATGGCTCTTCTTTAAATCCTTTGGAGAGACTGCTTTTGGAGTGAAAGCTGTATATATTAGATTTCTTCCAAGGATAAATGATTTTTACCAAGTTTTACTGGTATCAATCCGAGACTATGTTTCTTCCCAAGCACATTCTTTTGACCCAGCCTCTAATTGTGAACTCACCTTGGAGTCTGCCTTGAGAGTTCTAAGCATTTGCACCCCCCCTTAGAAGAGGCAAGAGAGACCCTTGGGGAAAATGGCTAGAACCCTGGCCCGGCCACTTCCGGTCATGGTCCACACAGACCCTCCCGGGGAGGCGGGGGCGGCGACCAACAGGCTCTGAGTGGGCGCAGCGACTGAGCCCTGCGCGATGATAGAACGCGTGATGGGGCGGCGATGCTGGGTAGCGGGAGACACCTGCTGCGGGCCTTCCTGCCTCCCGGGGCTCCTCAGAGGCGCTCCTGGCTTGCTTTCCAGAGCCTCAGTGCCCCCGCCCACGCCACCCGCACACACCCTCAGCCCGGGGCCGGCTCCCCTCCCGGAGAAGGAGAACGTAGCCCAGCTGGACGCGCACTTCCTGCCCGGGTGTGTGTGTAGGGGGTGGGGGGGTCCGGGGGCGGAGAGCCCGGCCACGCCCAAAGCCCTGCAGCTGCCCCGCCTCCTCACCACGCCCCAAAACGGCCCGGGAGAAGACCACAGTGTTTACAGGAAAAGAAATGGAGTCATCAAGGTGTCAAAGTCCCTTTTTGCTTATTCCTTCCCAGCTGTATTATTTTCTCACTGATCCAAGGCCCGATTGGCAGAACTTGCCTGACTCCAATTACTTGAATGGAATTTTTACACTAACAGGAAGGGGAAAATTGAGCCAGAAACTGCTAAAAGCAAGGTAGGCGTATGAACATCCTCCTCAGAGCCCGGGCTTTTCTATTTCCTGCCTTTTCCACATTCAAACTGAATTCTAAAATAACAGAAGATACAAGGTTATATCTTTCATTCCTTGTTTTGAAGAAGTCTTATTTTTCTTCCTCGTGACCAATGCGTTTTGTTACGCACCGCCCCCTCCCAGAGTATCTCAATGCCAACAGAGCACCTGAGTTTTGTGAGGGTTGACGTGGAAATCAAGCCCTGCAGTGTGTTCCTTCCCCGATTTCATACTTGTGACCTTATCTTTGCAGTGGAATTTTCCAAAGAACATGGAAACCCACAGATAGTCCAACCAGAGAACATTTCCTCAAGCAGCCTGCCTAGTTTTACAAGTGTACAGATTTAAAGAAATACATTCCAAAATGTACAACCAAAATGTGATAGTCCTTAAGAAAAAACAACAAAACAAAACAAAAAAACCCTGTGTGGTTCAAGCATAAAAAATAAGCAAGTAAAAATTACTCCACCCCTTCCCTAAAAAGGTAGGAGTGGGGAGGAGAGATTACATAAAAATGGCAAAATGTTGATAATTGTTGAAGCCTAAACATGATGCACAGGGCTTCGTCATACCTCTATTTTGTGTATTTCTAAGATGTTCTGTAATACTAAGTTTGTAAAAGGAAGCAGATTAGAATAATGAAAAGCCACATGGGAGCATACAATTGGTTTATTCTTAAAATTAGAAGCTTTTTCCCCCCTCTGATAGCTTTTTCTATTTGAATGAAGGAACTGTTTTTCTCATACTTTCTATAAAGTTGACTCCTGTGTCTTTTAAGAAGTCGCCCTCCTATGCCATAAAATTCTACTTAATTGTGGGTAAAACAGAGGCATGGATGTGCACGGCAAATTAGGATTGTGCCCTACGAAATCCTTTATCAGAAAGTGCCTCTGAGCTTTCACTGAGACTATGTATACATGTGGTGCTTCCTGAGTACGATTCAAAACATACACACACACACACACACACACACACACACACACTTGGGTTATGAGGGAGAGGTCCTGTAAGGTGTTAGTGTTTGCACCTAGATGGAGTCATGAAGGACGCTACTTGCGGAGAGCTGTTCCAATGAAAGGCTGTGTCACCCCCTGCAGTCCAGAGGATGCCTCTTGCTCTCTTTTTGAGAGTATGCGTGCCCTCTGCTGGCTACTCAAAGAAATGCCAGGAAGGGCATCTGTAGCAATGGCAAATGTGTTCCTTGATAGTTCTTTTCAATTACTCATCTATCATTCCTTCCTTTCTTCCATCCACCCATTCATCCATCTATTCACCCGTAATTCTTTCCTTCCTTCCCTCAATCCACCTATGCATCCATCCATCATTCCTTCCTTCCTTCCATCCATCTACCCTCCATATACCCATCAATCCATCCATCCTTCAATCCATCCATCCACCTCCATACACCTATCCATCCATCCATCCATCCATCCATCCATCCATCCATCCATCCATCCATCTCTCTTTCCGTCCAGCAGACACCCATTATGTATCAAGCACTTGGTTACGCATTGTGAAAATTCAGAGATACACAGGACAGGGTTTCTACCCTCAGAAGGCACATCAGTGGGACAGAGTAGCAGACCCAGCAGTCTCTGATGTAACACAAGCAGAAGCATTTATTCATTCCATTCATTCATTTCTCAGATAGTTTTTGTGTGCCCAAAGAGGCAAAGGAACAAAAAGTTCCTTTTTTCATTTTAAATATTATTTCTTTCTAACATTGATTGAGGCCTTACTATGTCTCAGCATAAATTTTATTTAATCCTTTATGAGATATATACCGTTAATGTCATTGTTTTATCAATGAAGAAACTAAAGCTTTGGGAAGTCATGAAAACTGCCTAAGGTCATACCAGTAGGGTGTGGTGGGGTTGAAATCTGAACCTAGGTATGTGATTTAAGCTACATTATACTGCCTGTCATAAATAAAGGTTGCATTTTTTTGAAATCTAACCAGAAGATAAATTGTGCTCTACCAGAAAAATGTATGTTATGTAGTTTGAATATTGTGTTTTTGTTAAAGTGATGAAGTGTAGGTCCCCATGTGTGCTATAAATAAGCCATATTATCATAGATAACTGGGAAGCATAAAGTATTAATCCCCAAACTGAATCTGAGATGATGGGTACCCAGAAAATTCTTCTTAACTTCTTAAGTGACAGCTCTCATTCCAAACCTCTCTGGTGGGGTGGAGGTGTGAGTGGAAAGCAGGGAGATCAGGTGGGGTGGTGGAAAGGGCACCAGACGGGAACCTGGTCCAGCTCAGCTCAGCCACCCACCCACCTCAGGGCTCTGGGAGGCAGCTCAACCCTGCCCAGGAGGTGTAAATTTGAACTAATCTCTAAGTGTTCCTGCTAGTGTCTACTAGGCGTGGTTCCACCTCAGCCTTTCCATAATCACTGTCACCCAGCAAATGTTGGCATGTCGGTTCTGTATCAAGTTAGAGGTTGTACTGAACTGAGTACAGGAATAGAGGGCCAAAAACCCAGATGCTAGAAGAAAGAGGGACTTGCTCCTGAAGAACTCAAAGCTATAGGCCTTAAAGGGAGGAAAGCACTGCTTGTCAAGAATCCAGCATATTTGGGGGCACCTGAGTGGCTCAGTCAGTTAAGTATCTAACTCTTGATTTTGGCTCAGGTCATGATCTCACAGTTCGTGGGTTCGAGCCCCACATCTGGTTCTGTGCTGACAGCGCAGAGCCTGCTTGGGATTCTGTCTCCTTCTCTCTCTTCCCCTCCTCTGCTCACCAATAAACATTTAGGAAGGACGGAAGGAAGGAAGGAAGGAAGGAAGGAAGGAAGGAAGGAAGGAAGGAAGGAAGGAAGGAAGGAAGGAAGGAAGGATCGATCCAATATATTCAATAATATCAGTTTTCAATGCCCACAAGGACCTTTGATTAAAAGAGCTTTTTACAGATCTTAGGTTTAAATTTATTAAAAGTATTAAAGTTGTTTTTTTAAACCTTTAGAGTCAATTTACAGATTATATATTATTTACAAATCTACATATTTGGTCTAAAAATAGCAATGCTTTTACTTGTTTGTCCATCTAGTTTATAAACATAACAAATTATAAATAATCAACATTCTCTACCAAAGCTATTAATCTACAAGTTCAATTCGTCTAAATCTTCCAAACATGTCATGTGTTGAACAAGGCAGACTTGTCAACTTAGAAGTAAAATCTTTCTAAGCTCTTATGCAATTCTTCTAAATCAAACACAGCATAAATGAAGTAGGTCGAGGTTCTCATAAACAAACGTTCTACAAACTTATCAAATTCTCTTAAACCTTTCAAATTAAAACTACCAGGCCAATGTATCACATTTGCTTCCCTGGGAATGCAGAGTCACTTAGCTAATGGGGGCTGATTTGCCATCTCAGCTGGGAGCTGTAAGATCCCCAACCGCAGTGTGGGTGCACACCCGGGCCAGTGGTCGGAGACGTAAGGCCTGGCGCAGAGCCTGGTCCTACTGCCAGGATGGTGCAGCCGATGGCCCAGGTTAACCTAACCTCTGCCACCATTCATCCCATTCACAAGATATTTCTCTCTGCTCATGAGAAACTGATAAGCCGAGCAGTCTTTATGCAAGTACATCAAGTTATTTATAGACCACCTGGGGCTGAGTGTCTTTTACACTGATAGAACTCTATCACTAGACTGTAGCCTTCTATAAGGCAGGGTCAGCGTCCCTCCAACCCACTGCTCCATATCCAGGACCCTTTGCTTGTGGCATCACAGCACCCCACGTCCCCATGTTGAGTGAATGAATTCTTCCCAAGCAGGTCAGAGAGAGCAAAAAGGCCAACCTCTTACAGTGCATAGGGAATACAAAGAAGGTGCAGACACCTTGGTGTGTGGATGCAGACCCCTGACAGTGGAGGTACATGTGATCCCAACCTTAAAGGCACTCCTGTTCTGCTTCCAGATGTTTCTGCAGCAGCCAGCTGTATCCCTGAGCTTCAGCAGTGCATCACGGCCCGAGACTCAGCAGCAACTCCAGCAGAGGTCAGCCCCGGGCTCCCAGCCCCAGCTTGGGGCCAGCCCTCAACTCCCAGGGCAGATTGCCTCTGCCCAGGTGGCGAACCAGCACCTGCTCAGAGAATCAAGTGTGATATCAACGCAGGTAAACATGCTCGTTTTCACACTCAGTCCTTGCCTCTGAAGCTGACCAGGGCATGCTTGATTCCTGCAGTCCCCGTGAACTGGAAACCTACTGAGCCTTTCCTCTGTGACTGGGGCTAGAGTCTAGTGTGAGGGGCAGGGGATGTTTCTTTTCCTCATTCTAGGTCACTCTGAAGCCCCAAGTTGTACTAGTTTCCTTCTGTGTTTTATTAATATATTAAAATGCCCCAAAGGCATCCCACAGCTAAAACATTCAGCACTGATCCTGACCTGGGTTGGAGGTAGATATGGATACCCAGACACTCCCACTGACAGCCATCTGTCCCCGTGTGTGTGTCCTCAGCCCTCATCATCTACTCTTGGTTATAGCCATTATGAGTGTGAGAACACAGGTTACCCACTTCTGTTCATTGTCCCTCTCCCCTGGTCCACCATGCTCCCCCTCAGTCCTCCAGATTTCCCACCAAGCCCTTCCGTCATAGCCATTACCACCTACTACAAGCCGCCAGTGACCTTGCAGTCTGACAGTCAGCCAGCAATAAATGGCACTTGAATTGAATGGAATTAAGAAAACCTAAGCCTCTGCTTCTGGAAGATCAAAGACTGGAAGGCAAGATACAGCCTCTCCTCAAGCCTCATATTGGCATCCATAATCGTGGGTTCAGTAAACATCTGCTGAGCCCCTCTTATTCACCATCTCCCAGGGGAACAGAGATGAGTAAGCCTTGTCTTGACTCCAAGAAGCTTCTAGTCCCGTGGGGCCTCTGGGGATGTAAATAGATAACGTACAGTAAAATGTGGAAAAGTACACATGTAATAGTTCGGCCCACCTTTACCCAGATTTAAGGGTTTTCCTTTAAAATGCATCCTTTTGGTTTTAAAGGTCAACAGAAAAATTAATGAGAATAGCCAAGAAGAATTTGGAAAAGAAAAACTGAGGAAGGGCCTCTGCTATCTAGTATTGAAAGATTTCAAAGATACCTCAAGAGTTAAAACACTGTGGGGCCATCATATGAATGGACAGTCAGTTGAACACTGGAAAACCCAAAAAGCAAAAAAGCAAATCCATGCCCATTCCGTCATTCATTTAAGATTTCACTCAACAAGTACTTATGAAGTGCTCACTGTGTGCTAGGCACTAAGTTCTAAGCACTGAGGGACAGCGGTGAACAAAAGAGAAAAGAAAAAAAAAGCATCTCTGATGCAAGTCAGAGGAGAGATGCAAACAAGTAAAGATCACAGCATGTCACATGGTTATGCAAGAACACAGGTGAAGGTTGGGGGAGGGTAAGAACACAGGTGAAGGTTGGGGAGTGGGCTGGAGTTTTCAATAGGTAGCCTTTTCTTAGAGAAGATAATATGTGATCAGAGAGACCTGAGGGAATGAGAGAATGAACCATACCAGTACTAGGGGGATAAACATTCTGCATGGGGGAATCAGCCAGTGCAAAGGCTCTGAGGCCTGATGAGTTGGAGAGAAACAGTAAGGAGGTCCACATGTCTGGAGTAGAATTTGTGAAGCAGAAGATAGTTCAGTGCACATTTTCCTTACTTGCTGAGAGCCCAACACTGTTGTAGGCCCAAGGGATTCAAAGAATCCCTGAGGTGCTTATAAGCCAATGGGGAAGACAGTCCCAGCATCAGAATAGTTCAAAAACTACTGGGCCCTAGAGGTGCCTGAGGGGTTCAGTTGGTTAAGCATCCAACTCTTGATTTCAATTCAGGTTATGATCTCGTAGTTTGTGGGTTTGACCCCTTCATAGGCTTCATGCTGACAACACAGAGCCTGCTTGGGATTCTCTCTCTCCCTCTCTCTCTCTGCCACTCTCCTGTTTATTCCCGTGTGTGCTCTCGCTCTCTCAAAATGAATAAACTTAAACAAATAAAACCACAACAAAGTAAACTAGTGGGTCATAAGTTAGAAGAAGGGCCAGGGTGGGTTCTGGGAAGGGCTCCTGAAGAGATGACGCCTGATTTGAGTCTAAGTCTTACCTCTCTCATTAACGTGATCACCCCAGGGTCCACGGCCAATGAGGAGCTCACAGATGATGCAGGGAAGCAGCCACTCAGTGAGCAGCTTGACACCGCAGTTCAGCAGCACCACGGCTGTGCTCCCGCCAGCTCTGAGCCTGACCACGCTTGCTTCTGCCTCCCAGGATGGCAGCCAGTGCCAGCCCAGCCCAGACTTCAGCCATGATCGGCAGCTCAGGTACCAAGACTGCCCTCGGTTAATAGACAGCTCAGGTGCAGCTTTACAGTAATCATTGCAGCCTCCCTTCTGCCACCTCCCGGTCCCAGCTAACAAAGTGGCAATAGAGGACTGGGGTCTCCGATGGCTGTGCTCATCTTCCTTTGAGAGCAGAGCAGGCATGGTGGGCATCAGGGGCGACCAGAGAGGGCCCAGCCAGGCTGGGCAGGAGCTGCTGTCAGCCAGCAGGTCTACAGTTTGGGTGCTGATTCAAGTTTCCAATTTATTTCCTCCTCTGCTCCAAGGCTATTGCTGAGCCAGCCCATCCAGCCCATGATGCCTGGGTCCTGTGATGCGAGGCAGCCCTCAGAGGTCAGCAGGACTGGACGGCAAGTCAAGTAGGTGGCCCTGGGTGGAGGGAGGAGGCAGAGAACTGCACTGAGTGGTCTCAGGCTGGCAGGCCTATCGTCGGCCTGGACCAGCAGCGCTCCTGTGCATCTCACATGAAAGGCAAGGTCAAAGTGTGCCCACACCCTCTGCAAGGACACCTCCTTAGCTCTTCTTCCATTTCCCATTGAAGATCACACTGTGTAGCAGCATTCCATTCTTAGAGCAGGACCTGAATGAAACAATTAATTATATCCCTTGTCTGTCATCATCTTCAGGCATCTTTACGGGTCCTTCGCCCTTGATAACGTCCCAGGTAAATGTAGCCTGATCCTCTTCCCCAGGGCCCTCCCATGGCTCCATCTGATCAGCAGATGCTGGCACATTCCACAGGCATACTTGGACACTTGGAGCTCGCCAGCTCTGTGGTTCTGGTGGTGAGCCAGGGGACTGTGAAACCCTGCAGATGTGGGCCCTCCTTCCTTCCCAGACACGCAAACTCCTGTGTCTCCTTTCCGCAGGCTCTTCACCGCTTGTAGCCCCCACGTCCAGAAGCAGCTTCGCTCCACTGTTGCATTAACTACTGGGGATAGAGGTCACTGGAGACATAGGAACGGATGCTTGAAAAGCTACAGGAAAACAGTTCCTAGCTCTTGACATGAGGCAGAACTATCTCACAGATGTCTTTTTTGCATAACACTGGTTGAGTGTGTTTCTGAAGTTCACTGGGATGGGGCTAGCTAATTAGGCCTGGCCATCCTTAGAGCCGTCCCCTGAGACCAGCTCCCAGGCGCCCTTCCTCCCATGTCCTCCTTCAGCCAGTGATATAATAGTAACAGTGGATGGCTTCTGAACATTTCTGAGCGGCAGAGGCTGGTACCTGTATCGTTTCATTTTATCCCGATAAAACCCCCGTGATGGAGAGAGATGGGGAATGCACACTTCAGGAGGCCGCCTTTCAATTCTCTGATGGTGCTCTCGATTAGACAAAACAAAGACTCTCGTTACCTCACTTTCCAGAGATGCTTAAAATGCAGTGAACTAGGCAGAAATGGGTGTTCCTTCCTCTGGAATGCAAACTGCCATTTTCAGTCAACCCAATAATTGCCACCCTCCCCATAACCTCTACTGTCTCTTCCAGACATGACCTAATGCTCCACCTTGTTACAAATGATGTCACAGAGAGAAATCACATTTCCAGACTATATAATGCAAAATGGACTTCTCTGTGGTGTCTTTAAATACCTCTTCCTGGTCCGTGCTCTGGAGCTTTCCTAAATGGCCTTCTTGTCTCCCTTGTTCATGGACCATTATCATCAACCCCTTTTCTTTTTTTAAGTTTTTAAATCATGGTAGAATATACGTATAACATAAAATTCACCATCTTAACTATCTTTAGGTGGACACTTCAGTGGCACTCACCATCACTACCGTCCATCTCCAGAACTTCATCTTCTCAAATTAAAACTCCAAACCCCATTACACACTAGGTCCCCACTCTCTCTACCTGCTGTCCCCACGGGTCTACTTTCTGTCTCTTATGAATCTGACTCCTCTAGGAATCTCATCTAAGTGGAGTCATGCAGTATTTGTCCTTTTGCTTACTTCCTTTAGTATTACGTCACGTGCTCTGGAACGTGTGAGAATTTACTTCCTTTTTGAAGCTGAACAATATTCCATTATATGTATATACTGTGTTTTGCTTATCCATTCACCCATCAATGGCCACTGGGCTTGCTTGTGGAACTCTGGCTATTGTGAATATTGTTGCTACAAACCTGGGTGTACAAATATCTTCCCGAGTCCCTGCATTCCTCTTCTCTTGGGTACATCCCCAGAAGTGACATTGCTGGATTGTGGTGTAATTCTAAGCTTACTTCTCTGAGGAACTGCCATCCTGTCTTCCGGAGTGGCTGCACCATTTTACATGTCTATCAGCGCACATAGCTTCCAATTTCTCCACGTCCTCGTCATCACTTATAATTTTGGTGGGGTTTTTTCCATAATAGCCATTGTGATGGCTGTGAAGTGGTCTCTCATTTCAATTTTGATTTCTACTTCCCTAATGACTAAGGATGTTAAGCATCTCTTTTTGCGATTGGTCATCGCAATCTTTTTTTTAGAGCAATGTTGTTCGAACCCTTTGCCTATTTTTTTAGCCAGGCTGTTTTGTCGTTATTGAGTTATAGGATTGTTTTTAGTAACCTGGGCATTAATCCCTTATTAGATATATGATTCACAAATATTTTTCACTGGTGGCCTTCTCAATCCATGGATAGTGTCCTTTAAGGCACCAAAGTTTTCAGTTCTGATGAAGTCCAGTCTATCAGTGTGTGTCTGTGTCTATCAGTGTGTGTCTGTGTCTATCATCAGTGTGTGTCTGTGTCTATCAGTGTGTGCCTATGTCTATCAGTGTGTGTCTGTGTCTATCAGTGTGTGTCTATGTCTATCAGTGTGTCCTTTTGTTGTTGCCTGTGCTGTTGGCGTCACATCAATGCCTCTTTCTCAAAAGTCTGTTTTCTCCTTCCCACCTGTGACCCAGCAGGTATCCGCAGAGCCAGGCCGTGTTTCAAAATGCAGACATGCACACCACCAGCAGCAGCTCCTCGCCCCCCATCCTGCTGATGGGACAGGCGGTGCCTCAGCCCAGCTTCCCCACCGCCGCCTCCAGGCAGTCGCCCCTGCAGCCCGCACAGGCCCCGCAGCAGGCACAGCACTTCCTGCAGGTGGGCGCCACATGAATGCATGAGGGCACAGGCCCCAGCTCCACTGCTCAGGTCCAGCAGGCTTTTCCTCCCTTGCTGTCAAAGTGGTCTAGTCCTCATTTACAAAATACATCCCGCATAGATTTGCATTTGAATCTTTATAGTCTATGAAGTTTATAATACTAAAAGTTTGTAAGCCTGTGCATATTTAGTATGAGAAATTTAGACTCAGCCATTATGCCTCCTAGGGTATGTGCTTAAAAGGTGCATCATCAAAAAGGAATTTTTATTATAGTGTCCATGTATTTTAGAGCAAAAATCAGACCCTGACTATTGCTTGTCAGACTTGTTAGTGTGTTTATACACAAAGTCTGATACAAATATAAAATTAAACCATGTTTAAAGATTCATCAAGCTTGCTGGATAAATACAAGATGAAGCATGAAGTCGGGGCTTTCCAGGGAAATGTGGGGTACATTTCCATGTGGTCACTACTTACTTCAAGCACGTGCCAAATCCACTGGAGCCCTAGAGCCAGTAATTGGGGTTCAGATGGAACAGAAGTGTCTGCTTGGGCTCTGGCCTTCCCTCCAACATAAGGCCAGAGCGCCTTCCTGCCCCAGCCCTGACCCTGACCTGTGCACATCCTCCCTGGCCTCCAGCCCCCACCACAGGGCAGGGCATCTCTTTCCCTTCACCCCCTCTCCACCCTGCTCAGGCACCTTCAAAGCCACAGGTGGGTATGGTGACTGAGACGTTGAAAAGTCAGTGGGATAAAGATGAAAGGAGTCGCCCTTGAAGGTCTTGAATGCAATTTAATTCCAAAGGTGCTAAACCATCTGTGATATACCTTTCAAAGTCCCCTAACCCCAAGCATAGTGGGAGGCAACTGAAGACTTCAGCATTGCATGTCTTATCATTTTGCAGGACACAAGCGATTTTTGGACAGGCTCAGGTGAAGTGAGAAGGCAGGGATGGTCTGGGAAGAGTTAGCGGCCTCTGTGTCTTTCTTCAGCCCTGGCAACGGACATGTTCACAGGCACCTGTACCTCCAGGATGTGGGGCTAAGAATGCACAACCAAATGCTAAGAGCGTTTGGGCCTTCTCGCTGCCCCCAGGGGCCTCATGGTGCACTGTGGGGAGACGGGATGTCACAGAGAGCTGTCAGGCCCTGGGTTAGTGCCAGGGAAGAGCACTGTGGCTGGAGGCCTTCGTGGAGGAAGGATTTGGCGGGGGGGTGGGGGGGTGGGGGGGGTGGGGGGGGAGTGGGTACAGGGGGACACCTGCTGCAGAGCCAAGGTGTGGATGGAGTGAATGGACAGGAAGGGACCGTGCTCCAACAGAGGGACAGACTGAGCAAAAGTGGAGGAGGAGGCGTGCCTGTGGTGTCCTGGGTTGTTTGGATGGGAGAGATTTCATGGATGCGAATAGTGGGAGATGGGGCTGAAGGTTCCAAAGTTAGAGGTTGACCAGTGGAAGTTTCTGAGCTTCAAGTTAGGATGTTCCCCAATAGGTGCTGGCGAATGGCAGTATTTGGAAGTAGTTACCGAATCAAGGACCGTGGTGAAAAGTATGCTGACCGCATGTGTGTTTGGATTCTCTCCTGTCAGTTATCTGCATGTGGTCTCAGGGTCCAACATCCCAAAACAGGCCACATGGAAGTCATGTGCACATGTACAGGAAACCACGCCCCAAAGCCCAGCTCCTGGTCCACTGGCCCAAAAGAACCCCTGGTGCTTGGCTTCCAAATTCACACCCATCTGGGGGAGCCTCAGGCTCCTTTCTTCCCCACCCACCCTGCACCCCTGCCGCCACGAGGTCTCTACCCCCACCAGCCGTGGAGGCGAGTCCTGTAGTCTGACCACATGGTCATTGCCACCCCAGCATCTCCACGGAGGAGTTGCCAAAGCACAGAGGCACCTCTGGAGCCCTTTGTCTCTTCTTCACAGGTGCAGGCGCCAACCTCTTTGCACAGTGAGCAGCAGGACTCCCTACTTCTTTCCACCTACTCACAGCCGCCAGGGACCCTGGGCTACCCCCCGCCGCCCCAGCCCCCGCGCCCACCCCGAAGGGTCAGCAGCCTGTCTGAGTCCTCCGGCCTCCAGCAGCCACCCCGGTAGTGCCCTGGCATGGAAGTCGGGTCACAATCAGCTTTAACCAATGGACAGACGATGGAGTGGCCCCAAGAGTGGGGAGAGGAGTTTAAATCCTTGGCTTTTATGCACAGTGCATACATTTCAGAACTCCTGGATGGTAACCTTCTCCGGAGCACAGCGGCCGGCATGTGACACATGATCAGGATACTGGCCGAGTTTCCCTTGCCTCTGTGTTTCTCGGGCACACTCTACAGCCATACTCAGATGGAAACCGAGTGCCCCACGTAAGTGTCGTTACTCAGTTTACCAAGCAGGTGGCACGGCTCACTGCGTCCTCCTGAGAGAGCGCACTGGTTGCTCTAGCTGGCTGTGGTCTGTCCACGCTTGCTAGCTGGCCTTCACTCTCTTGACCCTCTTTCCTTTGCATTCGAGAAGCACTGGGTCAGAGATCTGTTGAAGAGAGAGAATAAAGAGATTATTTTTCATTATTTTTAAATGGTTGTTTTTGTTTTAATTTGCACAGCTGCAGAGAGGAGATAACTTAGGCACTTTAGGTTTTAAAAATAATAAGGTCTCATGACTTCACATGGAGACCTCAGTAACAAAACCAGCCCACCAATCAGACGGCAGAGCTGGTCATTCTTCACCAGGCTGCACCCACACCCTCTGGCCTAAAACCTAATGGAAAGAGGTTCTTCGCCCCATGCCCATTCTGGTGATTATTGTTTCCCCTAAATATAACACTGGACTGTTCCTGTTTACTTGGTGGATTGCAACTACAAAGGCCGACTCAAAGCAAAGCACAATCATGCAGCTGATGTTCCGGAATTCTGTTAGGAACTAGGAGACTTTGGAGGAAGAGGTTTCACAAGCCAGACTGGCCTGTGGAGCCCCAGGTCCCTGAGGAGACCCCACCACGCACCGGCCCCTTGAATCAGAATGCTGCATCTTTCTACAGATCTTTCATGATAAGACCGAGGATTGGATTCTCCTTTTCCAAATGCACTTTGCTTTTTTTGTATGTTTTGTTATGTTGAGATGTTTCTAAAGAAAAGGGTTTTATGTAATTAAAAGACGAAGTGTAGTGAACTGTACAGCTGTTGTAATAATGACCTATTTCTATATAAAATAAAATTGTATGGATTATGTGTAAATTATTTTGTATCTGAGACACCAGTTCCTTTCCCAAATATAAAAGTATAAAAGTTTTCTTGTGTTTTTCTGTGAGTGGAAATTTTGTAATAAATTAACAAATTTGTACAATTTCCTCTGGAAGCAGTTTCTGTCCCTTGGTATATATGCATGCAGACATCTTCATTTTTAAATCTTTTCTTATTTCAAGATGTTTCTAAGGATAATCGAAGATACAGAAAAGGTGAAAGCAAGCAATGAATAAATCCAAGTTTTTTGAGCTGCAACATGTGCACCAGCCCATCAGGCTCCTGACCTTCATAATTAAAGGCTGTGCCGGAAAAAAGAGCAGTGGTTCACTGTAAAGATGACAGCACAACAAACAGAAACAGAAAAGGCTCCTGGAAACATCTCTGCCTTCTAGACATAGGGAATCTGTGGAGATGACTGAGACGTTCTGCATCAAAGCCGTCACAGCCCATAATTAAACTCACCTGGGCTGGAGTTCATGGGCTCCAACTGCCAACACTTAGGTATCAGTGATGCACATGGGGTTTGTGTGTCTGTGTGTGAGAAGTGTGTACACGTGTTGATGGAGGGAGCTATAACAGTAGTACCTAGGAGACTTCTGCCAACTACAGACATTCCCTCTCTCCCATGAGGCCTCATCACACTGACATAAGGGTGCCCTGGCACACTATGATTGAGAGTCACTGAGATGAGGAGCCCTTTCCATAAACAGCCCAAGAGAACTGAGTTCCTTTCCTTGTTCCATTGCTAAAGTTCTGTGCTTCCACCTGCTTCCCTGTGAAATAGGGGTAACTCCTCTGTTCTGTGGCAAGGATCACTTTTCGTTGGCACAAGAGGCTATACGAATAAAATCATCAAAAAGGAGTTTTATTGTTCACAAAATTGCTGTATTCCTGAAAAAAGGTAAGTCTAAATGTTGTGCATGCTTTAGGATCATTTACTATGCTTTAAAGGAATCAGAAGTGAACCTTCTTTCTAAAACAAAAATTCTGGGGGGTGCCTGGCTGGCTCAGTCAGTGGAACATGTGACTCTTGATCTAAGGGTCATAAATTCAAGCTCCATGTTAGGCGTGGAGCCTACTTAAATTAAAATTAAAAATAAATAAAAGAAATGTAGAGGCTGCTTTTAAGGCAAATGGACTCAAGAATGGAATATAGAAAGGGTGGACAGTGGCCCTGTGGCTGAGTACAAGCACACCCATCAGGTGACCCACCTCGAAATATCCACAGGCCCTAACTAACCAAAGGGCTACATACAGCCAGGCGCAGTTACCAAAAAAGGGGACATTCCATAACTCACCATACCTCCTCACCTCCCCTTTTTAAAAACAGCCCCCACTGTCTTGTTGCTAACAGCCTCTCTTTTGCGCTCTGGCCTGCCGCTCTTTGTGGTGTATTCAATAAACGTCTATCACCTTTCTGCCTTGGGTGAATTCTTTCACCACCCACACTGCTGACCCCCATGATCCAATCAGGAGAGACACCACAATTTTATTCTTTATTTTTTTTATGATTTTTTTTGTACAAATAGTTTATTGTCAAGTTGGTTTTCATATAACACCCAGTGCTCATCCCCACAAGTGCCCTCCTCCATGCACATCTCCCCCTCCTCTCTCCACACCCATCAGTCCTCAGTTTGTTCTCATCATTCAAGAGTCTCTCATGGTTTGCCTCTCTCCCTTTCCCCCACCATTTCCCCCCTTCTTCTCCCCCATGGTCCCCGTTAAGTTCCTCCTAATCCTCCTATATGTGCAATCATATGGTATTTGTCCTTCTCTGCCTGACTTATTTCGCTCAGCATAACACCCTCAAGGTCCATCCATGTGGCTACACACGGCCAGATTTCATTCTTTCTCATTGCCATGTAGTATTCCATCGTATAGATAAACCACATATTCTTGATCCATTCGTCTGTTGACGGACACTTAGGCTCTTTCCATGTTTTGGCTATTGTCAAGAGTGCTGCTATGAACATTGGGGTCCATGTGCCCTTATGCATCAGCATTCCTATATCCCTGGGGTAAATTCCTAGCAGTGCTATTGCTGGGTCATAGGGGAGTTCTATTGTTAACTTTTTGAGGAACCTCCACACTTTTCCAGAGGGGCTGCACCAGTTTACATTCCCACCAACAGTGTAGGAGGGTGCCCGTTTCTCTACATCCTCGTCAGCATCTAGAGTTCTCTGATTTGCTCATTTTAGCCACTCTGACTGGCGTGAGGTGGTATCTAAGTGTGGTTTTGATTTGTATTTCCCCGATGAGAAGGGATGCTGAGCATCATTTCATGTCTGTTGGCCATCTGGATGTCCTCTTTGGAGAAGTATCTGTTCATATCTTCTGCCCATTTCTTTACTGGGTTGTTTGTTTTTCGGGTGTGGAGTTTGGTGAGTTCCTTATAGATTTTGGATATTAACCCTTTGTCTGATATGTCATTTGCAACTATCTTTTTCCATTCCGTTGGTTGTCTATTAGTTTTATGGATAGTTTCCTTTGCTGTGCAGAAGCTTTTAATCTTGATGAGGTCCAAACAGTTTATTTTTGCTCTTGATTCTTTTGCTTTTGGGGATGTAGCAAGTAAGAAATCGCTGCGGTGGAGGTCAAGGGTTTTGATGGTTTCCTGTCTCACGTTCAGGTCCTTTATCCATTTTGAGTTTATTTTTGTGTATGGTGTGAGAAAATGATCTAGTTTCATTCTTCTGCATGTTGCTGTCCAGTTCTCCCAGCACCATCTGTTAAAGAGGCTTTTTTCCATTGGATACTCTTTCCTGCTTTGTCAAAGATTAGTTGGCTGGATACCTTTGGGTCCAGCTCTGAGTTCTCAATTCTATTCCATTGGTCTATGTGTCTGTTTTTGTGCCAATACCGTACTGTCTTGATGATGATAGCTTTGTAGTAGAGGCTAAAGTCTGGGATGGTGAAACCTCCCGTTTTGGTTTTATTCTTCAGTATTACTTTGGCTATTTGGGGTCTTTTGTGGTTCCATACAAAATTTAGGATAGTTTGTTCTAGTTTTGAGAAGTATGCTGGTGCAATTTTGATTGGAATTGCATTGAATGTGTAGATTGCTTTGGGTAGTAATGACATTTTAACTATATTTGTTCTTCTGATCCATGAACATGGAATATTTTTCCATTTCTTTGTGTCTTCTTCAATTTCCTTCATGAGTTTTCTATAGTTTTCATCATACAGATCTCTTGTATCCTTGGTCAGGTTTATTCCTAGATATTTTATGGTTTTTTGTGCAATTGTGAATGGGATCAGTTTCTTGATTTCTCTTTCTGTTGCTTCATTATTGGTGTATAAAAATGCAACCGATTTCTGTACGTTGATTTTGTACCCTGCAACTTGACTGAATTCTTGGATCAGTTCTAGTAGGCTTCTGGTGGAGTCTGTTAGGTGTTCCATGTAGAGTATCATGTTGTCTGAAAAAAGTGAAAGTTTGACTTCTTCTTTGCCAATTCTGATGCCTTTTATTTCCTTTTGTTGTCTGATGGCTGATGCTAGGACTTCCAGCACTATGTTAAACAACAGGAGAGACACCACAATTTAGACACCACAAAAAAGTCTGTGCTAAACTAGATGAACTATTTTGTAACTGAGCTGTTTTGTAAATTTGAAGGTTTATAAATCTGATTTTTCTGTATTTGTATTTTAATTGGCCATCGGAATCCTAAGTAAAGCAAGTTTTTTAATGGAAACAGCACATTTATTGTACTGGGATTTTCAGGCTGGAAGTCATTGAAAGAGGGCGGAGTATAAACCATGCTACTAATTTAATTTAGCATTGCTTAAAGCTCATACACGTTCAGAATCTGGATAAACTCAGAAAACTCTTATTGTGCAACGTTTCTTTAAACCCACGTAACATCAAAAAAACACAAAAAACAAACGCACATAACATCAGTGGAAGTTTAATCCCTAAGATTTTGATTCATTTAATTCTGCTCATTAAAATGTTTTGCAACCCTGTCTCGTTTCCAGAAAAAATCATGACTTTTCTCTTTGGAAAACTGTAGTCTTGGCTCATAAGAAGTGGACGAAATGTGAACTTGAATACGCAAGTGTTAGAATGCTGCCACTGGACATATCTTCCTTTGGCGCCTTCATTCTGCACCACCAAACCCCTTTCATCTTAAAAACCTTCCAGTGGCTTTTCTTAGGAAGTCCCATTGGACCTTCCAGCTTAGCCCAGCACAAATCTACCCCAAAAGACCCTCTAGCACTTGAGGGTTTGTCGCCCTCTTGAAACTGGGGTCTTCTTCCTTGCTCCCCCAACAGGAAATCATTCAGATCCTGTTCATTTTAAGGATTCCCTGGTAATTACTAAAAGTAAAAAACATGGGAGAGCAGCCCAGGTAACAAATACTGGAGACTTACAAAGGACACAAAGTTCATCCTAAAGTTTTGGTCTCTGGGAGGCCAGCAGTGACTGGCCTGACCCCTGAGGCTTGGGAAGGAAGAGGCTGAAAGAGCTTGCTGGGCTAAACTGAAACAGGAGAGCCCCAGCCAGGCTAATGATGATCAGTCCTTTAAACTAAATGGTTTTTATATGTCTGTTCAACCTTGACTTAAAGCAGCACAGTTGACATCTGAGAGGACTGTTTTGTAGATTTTCAACTGGTGGGGTCTATTTGCTTGAAAGTTTCACCACTTTAGAGATCCAAAAAGATCCTACAATGTTTCAGAGAAAATAAAACCTCACCAAGGAGGATACATGGCTTCTCAACAACCACACTAAAAGAAGACAATGGAGAATGCCTTCAAAACAGTGGGGAGAAATTATTTTCAACCTGAAATTCCATACAAGTCAAAACATTAATAAACTTGAGGGTTGATAAAAACTTTCAGGTATGTGAGGGCTCAACAACTTTAGCTCCCATCCTCCCTGTCTTACGAAGCCATTAAATGGTGTGCTCCTGTGAAGGGAGTTCATTACGAATAAGCATGGACCCACGGATCAAACTGTCTTAGAATTCCCAAACTGGTTGATACCCAGTTTCTAGGTCTCTGGGAAGCTCTAGAATCATGCCTCTGGGCACCTCCTCAGAGCTCCCTATTGTTTCTCGCATCATATCTAAACCATTTGTTCAACTGGACTGCCTACTACTTCCCCAGGTCCCCTGAGAGTATGGCTTCTCTCCCAGCCTTTGTGCCCTAAGGGACAGCACTGGTGGAAAGCAACAGACTCCTTACTCTGTCTTCATCTGGCTCCTCCCCACTCCCCACTGCTCCAATAGTGAAACTTGCTAAAATCACTGATACTCTCCCGTTTGGAGAATCTAGTGGGCCCATCTGTTTTTGCCTTCTTTGAGCCCTGTAGCATTTAGAACTTGTTGACCACTCTGGCTTCCTTTTGACTTAGAACATGTTCAACTAAGTCTTTTCCAACTGCTCCAATGACACGTTGCTAATTTCTTCAGCCCCCATCTCTTAAATGTAGTGAGTCTACACTGGTCTTCTCTTTCCAACTCCTCTTGATTTTACCTACTTGTATCTGTAAAATCGGTCTGCTTCTTTCCAAACCCGATGCAACTGCCTTAGTTCAGAGATCCTTACTCGTCTCTGTCGTGTAAATAGCTTCTTCCTACTAGTTTCCTTGCTACGATCTGGCCCCCCTGCTCCTAATCTATTCTTGACAATGTAACTGAATTAATTCTAAAACAAATCCGATCGTGGCACTAAAACTTCAATGATGCATTACTCAAACTCTTGAGTAAGGCCCCACACTACCTCACCTCTCCGCCTAGAGTCCAGGAAGCCCTAGACTTCAGACGGTTCACCTGCCGCGCTCCACCACGTCTCCACCGGGCTACCTCCTGCCCATCCTTTCAGCGCAGCACAAGCCTCCCTGCTTTCTGCACCCCCGGCCCACCCATGCATCGGGCCGGACACGACCCTCGGGTGGCTCCACCGTCCAGGACAGTAAGCACTCCCATTCAGGAGTGTCCCGGCTCGAAGAGGACCCCGCCAGGGCCGCAGCTGTCTCCGACTTCTACGGCACCGCCAGCCAGGCACGGCGCCGCTCCCAGGTGCAGCAAAGGTCGGCCGAAACAAGGGGACAATGGGAAAAACAACGTAGCGCCTTCTTTTCCCGCCCCAGGTCCCGTTCAGCTGTGGGCCTGGGTTTTATTTCCTCTGAAGACTTAGAGGCAGAGCAAAGAGACCCCGCCGCGCCTCCAGGGCGCCGGAGAAAACTAGGCTGCTAGAAGGCGGAGGCCAAGCGCGCGCGGCAGGAACGCGAAGCCACGACCCCCTCCCCGGCTCCGCCCCCGAAGCGTGCTCGCTTTTCCCCGCCCGGGCACCGCCTACTACGCAGCCTCGCCTCCCTCTTCCACCCACCTCCGGGCGACCCGGAAGTTGTACGCGAGACGCCGCTTTCCCTCTCCCACAATACCTCGCGCTCTTCCTTTCCAACCCGGGCCCGGCAGAGTGAGTATGGCTGTTGGGTCCCGGCTTCGATAATCTGCTTTCATCCTCGCTCGGGGTTGTGCTGACCGGGACGGCGAGATTTCTCCTAAGCCGGCCCAGGAATCCGCGTTTCGCGGGGGCGGGAATCCGCGCTGTTTAGGGGACCTGGGAAGGAATGTGGCCAGGCTTACGGGAGCCGAGCTTCAGGGGTTTCTGGGGCGGGACCATCTGAGGGGCATGGTGCTTTGGCCGCGGAGTAACCGACTTGGCTTTGCCCATGCCTGGGACTTCGGGGCCCTAGCAGAACCCGCCGTACCCGGAAGCGTCCCGAGGGTGGCTTTGTGAGGCCGGGCTCGGGAGGGAGGACTTGGCTTGCGCTGGCCCCGCTCTGCTCTGAACTTCCTTGTCGCCTGGGTTTAGATGGCTCCCGCGAAGAAGGGTGGCGAGAAGAAGAAGGGCCGTTCTGCCATCAACGAGGTAGTGACCCGAGAATACACCATCAACATTCACAAGCGCATCCATGGAGTGTGAGTATCTCTGCAGTCGGTCCGGTGCCTTGCTGGTTGGGAATTTCCGAACTCACGCGTCTGGCTGTCACTCTGAAGTCTGTCTAGTTGTTTAAAAGCTAAAAATCCGGGTCTCTATTCCATATCTCCTATTTAAGGCTTATAGTGTTTAAAGCGTAGTCCTCGGAGGTTCGGGGCTGGAAACACAAACTGAAGAGTAGTTTCTGGGATAGACAGTTGGGGGGAACTTGGTGGTGATAAAATCATTTCACAGGGTGCTTTGTAACTGAATAAACCTGGGCAGGGTAACGGGTGTATAGGAAGAAATGCAGACTGTTTTAAATCTCTCGACTCCGGTAAAACTAACCAATTACCTGAAAAAGCTGTATTTACTCCAGCATGTGGACGTTTGAAGGGGATTCTTTTAGTTCCTGCCTCACACAAATATTTATTAACTAATGCTGGTTGAGTTTTGATACCAGAAGTGAGACTGTTAGACAAGAAAAGACTATGTCAGTGGAGTATTAGGGCAATATTTGTGCAAAGGACACATGGCTGTTGTGGATTTGTGATGGACAAGAATACTGGGAATTATTTTGAATGTTCTAGTTCTTAGGGTTTTTTTTTTTGTTTTGTTTTGTTTGCTTTTATGGTTTTTAGTTCTTAAGTTTACTGCTGAAAATGGAGACCCAAACCCTTCTTATTCGTTAATTTTAAAACATCCACCAGCAAGCACATTTCCCCCCACTAGTGCGTATCAGATTTTCTATTTGGCTTAATCATAGCCTTGTAAAGAGAGACAAAGTAACCTTAAATTGAAGGAAAAAAATTATTTTGCTTCAGTATCCATAGCCCCAGTTTGCAAAAATGTTTCAAGTAGTTCTGTCAAGGTTCTAAACAGATATGATCCTTGAGCCTCAACTTGGACTTAGAGTAAATAATTTTTCCTTAATTCCAAAGTTCACAAAGTGTTTCTATCGCAAAAGACCCCAAAAACAAATATGGAAAGGAGAAGGTGATTGATCCTAGGTCCTTGGGCATTGAGATGATATTTTCACACTGATCTTTAAACACTAGGGCACATCTGGGTGGTTTGGTCAGTTAAACGTCCACCTTTGGCTCTGGTCATGATCTTGCAGTTTGTGAGTTCGAGCCGTGCGACAGGCTCCATGCTGACAGCTCAGAGCTTAGAGCCTGGTTAGAGGATTCTGTGTCTCCCTCTCTCTGCCCCTCCCTTGCTTGTGCTCTATCTCTCAAAGATAAACAACAAAATAGAAATAACATTGGTATAAGCTGGAAAGTTGCTTGACTTTTAAGTATTATCTGCTTTCTATTCGGTAGAGTCTGTTGGCAGTATTTCTCAGTAAAAATAAAACCACGTTCTAATGTATGTGGAGCCTGTTAATACCTAAACATTAATTTTATTTGGCATGTTACTATAGCATTCTAGCCAAACACCTACTCAGGTTAAAAATAGTGTCAGCATTGAGACCAAATTTTAATTGGGCCGCCCATAAACTTTTACATTGGAGCCCTTTATTTTGCCTCCTGGAATATCCTGATATCATTCTGAAGTTTCAGTATTAAGCTCCTCAGAGCAATAGAGCAAGGTGGTAGCTAAATTCTTAGGCCGAGTTACAGTCTGTGCCTTTTGGAAGAACCAACACCTTGTTAATTGGTTAAGGCAAAGACCCGCACAAGGTATGGTCCCCTTAACATCCGTTCTCGAAAATGATAAGAGTATAACTGACAACCAAGAAACCAAAAACCTGGAGCCAGATTGGCTGAAAGTTGTGGACCAGGGCATGAGAAAAGATGGCTGTAGGTAAACTCACATTATTGGTGAAGAGCTTTGGGAAAGGCCTAGGTGTATGCAGAAACAAGACTGGTACATGTCTGTGTTCTAATACCGACTTCAAACTATCCGTAAATAGAAGTGAGGTCCCAAACAGTAGACGTTCTGTCCCCAAAGCCTCTTCATCTAGAGACTTCAATAGTAATTGGCCCAGAGAAAAGGAGTGAGTCCTCATCAAATTGATAGCCCTGCTTCCCATGTCCTAATTTTGTAGATCTGTAGATAGCTATTCAGTGAGAAGCGGAGTACTCTGGAGTGTACTTACAAAATTCTCCTTGACCATTTTTCCAGTCGTCTTCCTGCACACAGGAACATCAGCACCAGAATCTTAACAACTCAGGACTACCCAATGCCAGAGTCATACTAAGTCATTATAAAAGGTTTCTTTGGGAAATTGACTGAGTATGGTTCTTAGAAGATAAAGGGGCCAAATTCACCTAATACAGTGACCAACGTTCGTGTTTCTCTCTCCCCTTTTAAACTCATCTTTAATCTTAGATATTTTAAACACATAACCTACTAATAGTAAACACATTCATGCAAGGAATACCCAATCACTATTCTTTGGTTGGATACATCATGAAATAGTGGACTTAGTAAGGTGATGAGATAACAGTTGGGGTGGGGTACTTGTTCAGTCATCTTTGAAACACTTAGAAATCTTGATGGGTTTTTTTTCTCTTCTGCAAGGTCTTTTTCAGAAAATGCAAGCAGTGCAAAAGTAAATGACCAAAAAAACTACATTTGGTCATTGTAGGTGTCCTTGTAGGTTACCAGCACTTCTGTTGCAGGAAGATGTCCTCTCAGTTCACAAGGAGCATCCAGTTCAGAACCAAAGTGACTCTCAGTGCTGGCGTTCGATTCCCGGCAGATTAACCTCCGAATCATCTGACAGGGAGATCCTGATAACGCCGGGAATACAATACTGGGGCACACAAGTCAATAGTGGCCAGAGAAGGAATTTGAGGAGCCTTACTAGGCTGGAATTCTGAACCATTCCTTCCAAGGCTCTTAGTTGAGGGAGATGATTATAGTTTAGTTCAGGCCAGCAGACCTCTGACTTTGAGTATTCCTTTATAGTTTGCCTGAAGTAGGCTCTTTAACTAGTGATTGATGTGGTCACATTAATACTATAAATGCCTGATGGAGAATGTTTGTTTGGTTTAACAAGTGGAATATAGCACTTGGTTTTTTCATCTACTGTAACTCTGGATGCCTGGGATACTCCCCATTCTGATTGATTAATTCTGCTTAATAACAGGAGCCATCACAGATTTGTGCACAAGTGGGGTTATTGCCACACACCTGGATTTCTCCTGTGATCCACAGTGCCATTGGGGCAGTCTCTGAGGCTTGTTGAAGGCACTGGTTTTTTTGTTAGTTTTTTGTTTTTAAACATTCATTCATTTTTCAGAGAGAGACAGAGTGTGGGTTGGGAAGGAGCAGAGAGCAAGGCAGACGTAGAATCCTAAGCAGGCTCCAGAATCTGGGCTGTCAGCCCGACGTGGGACTCGCATCCACAAACCGTGAGTTCATGACCTGAGCTGAAGTCGAATGCTTAACTGAGCTACGCAGGTGCCCCTGAGAGTTTTTAATAACAGATGTTACACAGCAGAATAGTCTATTGAGGCACCAATCTGTGGAGCAAAATTTCTTACACCGTAATGGGCATTCTCTTTATCTCAAAAAAAAAAAAAAAAAACATTAATTTTGTGAGGGATTGAATGAAATGTGGGTCAGTACCCACACTGGGCTTCCTACTTCACCATTGCATTCCCAGCCAAGTGTTGATTGTGTGTGAGCCCAGGAACATCATGTGCAGTGACTTCTAGGTCAAGAATCCAGTCTTTTTTTTTTTTTAATGTTTCTTTTTGAGAGTGGGGGAGGGGCAGAGAGAGGAGACAGAATCAGAAGCAGGCTCCAGGCTCTGAGCTGTTGGCACAGAACCTGATGCGGGGCTCGAACTCACAAACCTTGAGATGACCTGAGCTAAAGTCGGACTCTTAACCTACAGAGCCACCCAGGTGCTCCGAAATCCAGTGCCTTTTTGCATTGATATTGCTTGGGGGTAACCACATTTCCTTCTCTCCACCCCTTTATTTGGGACATTCATACATTCGTTTGGGAGCACATCAAGCACTTAATTGTATTAGACACAGACCTGGACTCTGCAGATTCATTAGGAAATCAGAAACCCTGTCCTTCAAATTTATTTAGTAAGGGATTAAGATTCAAAGTGGTAAAAAGTACCAAGTGAAAAGCCACTCACCTGTGAAAGTGCATGCTGTATTAAAGGCCATACGGATGACGGAACATTTGAAAGTTGTAGGTGTGAAACAAGTTTTTCAGGCAATTTGTGCTTTGTTCTAAAACCCCCAACTGAAGATCTGAATCCCTTAGTCATTTCTCAGTCCCAACTTGATAGGTAACAAGTGATAGTTCACTGTTCACTCTTCTGTGGGAATGCTTTCTTTCTTTTTTTTTTTTAACTTCCGAACATTCTGCAGGCTTGTCCTTTTCTCCTTGCTCCTCTAGCTGCTAACCTTGTGGTTCCTCCTCACATCCTCTTAATCCTCCTTCCATCATCCTCTCAATGCTGAGGAGCCCCAAGACTGCCTTCTCTCTATGCTGGGTAATAACGACTGGCTGCAGGGCCTCCTATCCAACTACTGTTGGTTCGAGTATTTACTCATGCATCTCAAACTGCACAGGGTCCCAAACCAAACTCCTAGCATTCATCTGCACCCCTGACTTTCCCGTTCCTCTTGTGGCTTTCCCCTTTTTAAGTCATTGTCAGGCGAGCATGTCCTGTTGCCTCTGCATGCCACATTTGGACCAGTGGCCTGGTCCCATCACCGTTTTCTCTCACTTGAATAGTTACAGTTAGCAGCTTCCTGCTCCTGGGTCCCTCCTTCATTCCCAAACTCCTGGCCCATTCTCAGACCCTCTGTGGGCTTCCTGACTTACTCAGGCCAGAGGCCCAACAACTTTGATTGCACATGAGCTGGCAACTTATTTTCTTAATCATACCAGACATTCAGGGTAGCTGTTTTGTTCTTGTTTTGTTTTTACTTTTTTTCCTTCTGCCTGAATGCTTTTCTGAGATTCCTAAATGGCTGTTCTCGTGATCTGCAGATCTTGACTCTAGTACGTTCTTGGCCATCTTATTTAAACCTGCATTCCCTTTCTCTAATGTTCCCTCTTTTTTCCCGGTTTTATTTTTTCTCTGTAGTACTTGATACCGTCTCTTTTACTCCATATATTGCCTACATAAGCTACCTGGTTAGTGAGATTTTGTCTGTTTTACTTACTGCTGTTATTTCAGGCACCTTTTATTTCTAGATGGTCATATGTTTAAGTGAATGAACTGAACTTGCCTGATGGGTTCTAGAAACAGCAAGGAGGCTAAGTGAGGTGGAGTAAAGGGAGTAGGGAAGGTGGTAAGAGGTGAGGCACAGGGGACATCTTTTGTAAGCATGGGAAATCACTGAAGGTTTTAGACCAGAATTAAGTCACTCTACCATGCTCTGTGTGTTACCTGTATTGGGTTTCATAAAATTCGCTTCGTCTTAACAAGTTAAGCACCTGTTACGTCCCAGGGCCTGCATTGGGTTACAGGGGTGAATGGTTGACATGACCCCTTCTCTGATCTTCAGTCTTAGGAGCACTTTTCTAGACTTTGCTCCCATTTGAAATGGCCTTCGCCTGTCCAAATGCTTGACCACTTCAGTTTGTAGTAAAGTTTTGCTTTTTCACATTTTTTTACTTAATTCAAAGTATAAAATTCAAATGAATTTGTATACCCTCATTTAAACAACAGGTTAATAGTATCTAACTCAGAGTTGAAACAGACATGAGTTAATGACCATGCCTGACCTATGCTAAGAGCTCCAAAGAATGAACTGTTGTCTTCATATCTCTTGAGACGAAATGTGTAGTTTCCAAAAACATGCCATGTCTTAGGGTATGACAAATAATGTGTACTTTGAGCTGAGAACACTTTTAGTTTTATAATGTAAATATTTTATGTTCAAGCATATCCTATTCTTTGGTTTCGCTAGGCAGATGGTGTTAGAGCATAGGGTGTTTTATCAGGAAAGAATTGTGTTAGCATATCTTAGGATCATATGCAGAGCTCTTATCCCACATCATTGAAAGTAGGTTGTGCATTTTCTGTTTACCAAATATAACACAAATTGCTGGGCATTACACACTGGTGGAAAAAAGGATTATTATTATCTTAAGGCTTTGGTTTGGATTTGTTTCATGAAAATAGGACATCATATGTTATATATTTCATTTAATTTTGTACTTAATTTATTTTCTTTGACTCTCAGGGGATTCAAGAAGCGTGCCCCTCGGGCACTCAAAGAGATCCGGAAGTTTGCTATGAAGGAGATGGGAACCCCAGATGTGCGCATTGACACCAGGCTTAATAAAGCTGTCTGGGCCAAAGGAATAAGGTGCTGAAGTTATCTGTGTTATAAGATGAACTTTTATTTTATTTATTTATTTTTTTAATGTTTTATTTATTTCTAGGAGAGAGAGAGAGAGAGACAGCTTAAGCAGGGGAGGGTCAGAGAGAGAGGGAGTCACAGACTGAAATAGGCTCCAGGCTCTGAGCTGGCAGTCAGCACAGAGCCCGACGCGGGGCTCGAACCCACGAACCGCGAGATCATGACCTAAGCGAAAGTCGGACGCTTAACCGACTAAGCCACCCAGGCGCCCCTAAGATGAACTTTTAAAATTACGCTAGCTTAACCAACTCTGCACAGTCTATGTAAGTTCAGTGGTCATTCGCTAATGCACGTGGAAATATTTCCTTAAAATGTGATGATGAATCAAAGGGTAGGGTAGCCTCTGCGGGGAAGCCCCTTGATGTGTTATTGGAACTGAGACTTCGGTGATAAAGAGCCAGCAGTGTTAGGGTCGGTAAGAGCATTGCACAAAGAATACACTTGGCGTGAGCTGGAACAAGCTGATGAAGATGGAGTACAGTAAGTGACTTGAATAGTGAATGAAGATGGAGAGTTAGGAAGGGAACAGACTATATGGCATCTTGTTTTCATGGCAGAGTTTGGATCTTGTCTCTAGACATAATGGGAAACATTTGGCACAGTGGTTTTCACCAGTAGGCAGTTCTGGTGTCACTACTAGAGGTTGCCACAGGTCAAGGGCTCTGCTGTATACCCCACGTTGCACAAAGCAGCACCCCCACAACTATCCAGCCCAGTTGTCAATAGTGCCAAGCCCTCCTTATAAGCAGGAGAGTGGTTTTTGCTGTGGAGGATGATGTAATGTGCTGGAGTGGACCTAAGTGATAATATTAAGACTGCATCGGGGGGAGGGGGCTTTCTGCCTCTGGAGTTAGAGGGATGACAGAGGGATCTGAGATTCATTCAGCCCTACAGTTGCTGTCGTTGAGCATTCTAGTAGAGAATATCTGTTTAATAAAGGGGTGGCCAAAGAGGTTCCTTGAGATGATTGGGGCAGGGGTGTCAAAAGCCAAGAGGAGTCCTGAGTCTTGGAATGCTTCGTGTCCTCAGACCAATAAAAGGAGGTAGTCTGTTGTAATGCTGCTAAGGTTGGATGTGAAGAGACAGTTGTGTGCATAAGGTAGAGAAACTGAACGGTCACTAGTTTTTGTGTTGAATGTATCCTGCAGTGTTTGGTGTTTCTCCAAATTTATACTGAACATAGACAAATCGTGTATGTAAGATTTGGGTGTTAGTGGTAAGAGGGAAAAGAACTAGCATGTTTGGATCCTTGTTTCAGCATAGGTTGAGTATCTGTGGTCGCTGCATCCTGAGACAGCATTTAATGTCCACATGTGGGTGTTTCTTTTCCAGGGAACTGCTGTCTACCTGTAGTATCTGATCAGATTCAAATAAAGGACAGAGCACAGATGTGGGGAGAGGAGGTGTCAACACCATTAGCAGTTATTTTCTTGATAGGAGGCATTGACTTTTAGCACGGTTATATCTTTATTAGGAATGTTCCATACCGTATCCGTGTGCGGTTGTCCAGAAAACGTAACGAGGATGAAGATTCACCAAACAAGCTCTATACGTTGGTTACCTACGTACCTGTCACCACTTTCAAAAGTAAGTTGAAATCCCACAAAGCTGCTAGAACTAGAAAAGCAGCCTTAGCCCTTTTAGAACCTGAATTCATGTCCCGACTGATTTGTGCCACCTGTTTCTTATAGGCATAATCACTGTAAACCTTTGTCATGGTGTGGGAAATTGCAGGAAGATACAAAACAGATGCATATTTGAGTTGTAAAAGTGTCATATAATACTAGCCTACGCCCTTCAAAAGCGGGTTTTTGGAACCTTAAAGTTCCAGGTATGGGGATGGAAATTGGCTGACTCCCACTTCTTTTGCAGATCTACAGACCGTTAATGTGGATGAGAACTAATTGCTGATTGTCAAATAAAGGTATTTCTGCCTTTCTGTTTTCGTTTTCCTTTTCTAGTTGCAGTGTACAGTTGACTCTTGAACAGTGTGGAGTTAGGGGTGCCAATTCCCACAGCCGAGTACCCAAAACTTAATAGACTTACCAAAAAAGTAAGCTAGAAGGAAAAATGTCTTTAAAAATTTGGTTTTACATTTATTTATTTGTTTCTGAGAGACCAAGCACAAGTGAGGGAGGGGCAAAGAGAAAATGAGACACAGAATCCAAAGCAGCGCCGGGCTCCAAGCTGTCAGCACAGAGCTTGACATGGGTTCAAACTCACAAACTGAGATCATGACCTGAGCCGAAGCTGGACACTTAACCGACTGAGCCACCCAGGTACGCTGAAAAATGTTTAAATCAAGAGAAAATAAATTTACAGTTCTCTATCCAAAAAAACCCCACATGTTGGGGCACCTGGGTGGCTTAGTAAGTTAGGCATCTTTCAGCTCAGGTCATGATCTTACGGTTGGTGGGTTCAAGTCCCACATCAGTCTCTGTGCTGTGTTGCCTTCTCTGCCCCTCCCCTGCTCGTGTGTGCGCACTCAAAAGTAAACGTATAAAAAAATCCACATGTAAGTGGACCTAATGCTGTTTTGGGGTTAACTGAAATATCTTTATGCAGTTCCTAATTCCATAGGATCACATGGAGATCTTTTCATTTAAAGGGGATGCCTTTGTGTGCCCCTTCTGCCCATCAAATGGGTTTTCTGAGTATCTGGGTAGAGTAGAACCTAAGCAGGTTTTAAAAGTGATTTTGAAGTGCATTGTGCCCTAGGAAAATGGTATCTTAGGTATCTGAGACATTGGGGATATACTTAATTCTAGGAAACATTTTTCTAGAGACTGGCATGTAGAAAGAATTCAGTTGCCATTGGCCACTTTACACATTTTAACAGATTTAAATGATGGAAATATCTTAGACTTAATATATTTGATAGCTCATTAAGCTTGTTTTTAATATGATTTACTTAAGCTTCTGTTTATATCTGTATTGAGTATACCTCTCAAAAGGTATAGAATAGCCAAATCAGTTCTGATGGATTAAGCCAATTAAGGCTTCTATATAGTTTATACTGTATGTACAGTTCATTTCTTTGTAATGGTCCCCTGAAGTATTTTTAAACCCCATTAATGTGGAACCAAAGCTCAGAGGTAAAGTTTAAGGTAACCATAATAAAATCCACTAAATTGAGCCTGAAAGCAGTGTGTTGTGGGGATTATATTTCATAAATGTTTAGACCCCTGGCGTATATCGAATGCTGTTGTAAAGAGGTCCTTCATTTTTGAAGCCCCAGGGGTAAGAGTACTACATAACCACAGTGGGGAGTTGAGCACCTACTACAATATCACTATTCAGAGAACACAGACTGGGGGTAATGGTAGAGAACCTCTAGACAAATAAATTATAAACAAGGACCAAGTCAATACAAAACTTTCTTATTAAAAAAACTTTGAGGCCAACGTTGAAAGCATGGTTTGTACACATTTTTGGAAAGACAAAGTGAGTACAACCAAATATATTAAAATGGTTTCAATTACCAGCATTGAAACAAAATTAGTGCAAAAGAAAGCCAAATACAGTTGCACAGATAGTAGCGCTTATCTTGAAAGTGAACTTGATTTGTAACTTCTCCCATTACCCAAGTGAAAAGTGAGAACTTGGGCTTTTGTCTCTGGTTTAGTATGATACATTCAACTTTTCTGTTGCATGTGAGAACAAAAATCATACTAGCATCACAGCGTCACAGCAGAAGTGCCCATTTCAGCCAATCTGATGAAAGTGAAACAGCAAGTCACAGCATTGAGGGAACTAATGTACAGATGCCCTATACCACTGATGGGATCCAACTGATAATTCTCTTAAAAAATAAACAAATGCTTGAGGGTTGCATCAGTTCCCCTGGCCACAGTTGTGGTTGTCAGGTTGCTTATCCAGATACCCAGCTTGTAAAATACGCTCAAAATGAATTGGACTGAAATGAGCATTGAAGGGCTGACCCCTACAAAACGGGTCCAGGCTTTGGTATGGCTGACTTCTCTCAGCAAACCGCTATCTTGCTACACATTATTCAGCTTGAGTTCAGGCTGTGATGGGCGGCTCATTTCAAAAGTTTTGAGACTGTATTGATTGGTCTTGGCGTTTTCAAGTTTGGATTTAATGTCCAGTGGCTTTTCAAAAAAGTTTACTAATGACTGTTCAGTCAGAAGTGAAGCTAAAATATGTTCAAGGGAGACAGTCCAGTCCCCTCCTGCCTCTTCAGGAAATGTCCGGGAGCCCTGGGGAATCTTCTCAGTGTTGGTGTCTGCAAAAACCGAGTCCTGCTCTGGAGAAAGAGCTGAAGCCCGCAGCTCCTCCCCACCTTCCTGGGAGCAGCTTCCAGAGCTACTGCTCCGCTGCCCCACTTCCCCAATCTGTAGCAGCAGAGTGGTGACTGTGGCAATGGCTTGATACAAATCATTTTCTTCTGGATCTTCATGGAACATGCTGTACAAAGTTTTACAGAACTGGATAAATTCTCTCTGAAATTAAAAAATACATAGCAACATAACCAGGATAGAAGTATATATATATTTTTTTTACTTAAAAGTTCTTGGAGAAACCTACAGAGTAGTCTTTGAAGCAAATAAGATAGTTTGCCTTTCTACTCAGGAAAGTATTACCAACAGTAACTCAGGGAATTTTACCAAACTCTTAGAAGTGTGCTCTTTGTTTATACACCAACTATTAAGAAATCTGTGCACCCTAGAGGACAGTGTCGCACACCTTTAATCCAAATCAACTTGTTGAAATAGATTCAAAAGCTGTAGAGACTTGTTTACAATGATGTTTAATCTAGGATTTACAATAGAGAAAATGTTGGATGTTTAAATATTACAGCTAGGGGCGCCTGGGTGGCTCAGTCAGTTAAGCATTTGGCTCAGGTCATGATCTCACAGTTCGTGAGTTTGACCCCTGCGTCGGGCTCTGCTGACATCTCAGAGCCTGGAGTCTGTCTTCAGACTGTGTCTCCCTCTCTCTCAAAAATGAAATATTTAAAAAAAAAAAAAAATGTGACTAAGATGATGGCTTATTCATCTGATAGGATACCAGGTAGGAACTTAAAGCTGTAAAATGAAGCAAAACAGTGATGCCCGATGCGTTTTCAAAATATATGCACGCTGCTGCTCAAACAGAGAATCTAATGTGATGAAAGGCACGTCTAGTGGGATTTAGCTATACACTTACTCTAGGAATAGGAACATGGTTGAGACCTAATTTAATTTGGGAAAGGGGTGCCTGGGTGGCTCAGTTGGTTAAGCTTCTGACTCTGGATATCAGCTCAGGTCCTGATTTCATGATTTGTGAGATTGAGCCCCACACCGGGCTCTGCTGACACTGCAAAAACCTGCTTGGGATCCTTCCTCTGCCTCTCTCGAAATAAACTTAGTTGATATCCTGTGTATCAGAATGTTAGTACTGGTAGCCCTGGGTGATGAGATTTAACTGGTTTTCTAAAGTGAGGTAGAGTTGACATACAGCATTGAAATGTGACTATATTCAAGAAGGAGAATGAAAATTTGAAAGCAACTCCCCAACAAAGTAGAGCAACATTTCTGAAGTATTCTAAGAAATGTGTATGCCATGTATTCTGTGGTCAAAAGTGACCAAGAAACACTGCATGCTAAATTCTACTCTTAAAGGCTCACAGTCCACATCAGCACCAAAAAGATCGATATCCTATAATAAAGGAATATTTCCAACTGAAAGCCTACATTGCCTAAACTTTGGGAGGAATCCTTTAAATATTTCCCTCTTTTAGTCACCACAGTGTTTGGCTCATGGCAGTTACAAGATCCTTTAAGTTTTGGAAGTCGAGGGGCCCAGTTCAACTCTTAAGCTTACCTCTGAACAAACTGGCAAAATGGTTAATTCTCTGCACAGAATAAGATTCATACCTGGCTCATTTTGGGCAACTCTTTCTCAGTTTTATCTTTTTCTTTGGCTAAATCCTTAATCATCTGCTTGAGCTGTTTCTGATAATCAATTGCATCACCTTAAGAAACAGAAAACAATATATACTTTAAAACTCAGGGAAAGCAAAAACGAACAATGTAGAATGGGGTAGTGACGGTGGGGCGCCACCAAACATGTTTTAAACGAACTGAAAATAGAGTTCTACAGCTGATGAATGGAGTGGTAGCTGCATGACTTCTCTTGCTCCAAAAGAACCCCTCAAATCTTGGGCAAGAGGTGGTAGGGTCGAGGGGCAGTCCCTTAACACACTGCCACTTGAAAACTTTCTGGCCTCTGGAAGCAATAGGCTGTTGATTCACAGTAGGTAGGGCGGGACTAGGTAAGTACAGCTTTTAAGAGCTGTGAAGTGGCTTCTAACAACTGCAGGGAAGTTAATGAGATACATACCATTTGACTTCCCAAAAACCAGCGGTCTTGATGTCGACAGTAGAGGATTCTTTAATGGGGACTGGCTGTCTCGATCATTTTCAGTGAGTGCTTTAAAAAAAATTACATTGAACAAATTATTGCATGTTAAGCAAACCCAACCATAATTTTAGCTTTTTATGTAATTAAGAACTAAAGGCTAAGCCAATAGCAACCACTCCCTCCCCACCCCCTGTGGGCTGCAGGGACTCTGAACCCATGTGTACACCAAGCACTGTCTAGATACCCAGTAGTGAAAACAACACACCACATAAAGCTTTTTTCTGGGTTTACGTAGACATAATTTTAATTAATGAAATACAAATTCATAGGACATTGCTGATACCTGGAGAAACAAGGTAGTAAAATCTTATTTTCTAAAATTTAAAATATGTGTCTGAATATACATACACACAAATTCTAGAAATATACAACTAAATTTCTGGGTGGTGAGATTAGCATTTTAAACTTCATGGCATCATTTTCCATAGCATATACTAAGTTTCAAAAAAAACAAAATTACTGAATCCAAAGCATTTTATCATTGCTAGTTTTCTTGAA